CATATTTGTTTTCACTGTTAAATTGTAATGACTGAAACAAAAGAAGTATTGATTCTTTCTTCTGGGGTGATCGTCGAAATGTGTCATTCGGAACATAATTCATGTGTTCCGAATGGCCGGATGTCAAGCATGGCCGACAGGACACGATATACAGTTTATCAGTGTGGTTTAAAGGAGGTTTAATATAGTGTATTGCGGTGATGTCATTGCATTAATTTTAGATAATTGGAAAGAACCGTAGTTATAAGCGATGCATTTCAGTATGTGTTCCGAAACTAATTCGTACTTTAACTAATTAACCCCTGAAGGCACATTTGAACTCTTCCTGTTCACAGGTTGGAATATACCATTATGAAATTTCAGGGATGAATGAGTTAAAGACTATTTCGACCAGTACACACAGCTTTGTTATACAGATTAAAGAATACGAATATTCGATGTTATTTCGTCCTCCATTCTCTTCATTCCTGCGATGTTTGAAAGAAATAGTTTGATATTTGATTTTGATATTTTTCCATGTTCAAAGTTTATGAGGATATATTTACATTTGCATGGCATTGTCACTATATAGCCTCTTTGGAAGCTGTGTCGTTGATGGGACTTTAATTACCATGCATCACGAAACACAATTCTTAGCGTATTAATACAACACTGACCGGAACTACAATACCCAATATAAATAAACATGACGGCTGCTTAAATATCGCTGGGCATTGTGAGATTTGACAATGTCATTGTAAATGTATGTGCAAAAGAAAAAAGAAAAAAGAAACACTTTTATTACAACGAAAACAAGACCAAGGTCTGCAATATCGTACAAAATGCACATCGGTTGAAATCACCAATGCCGGCAATGGAAACAATTTTAACGCTCATGCAATTTATCAGAAATATCGTCTGTTACACTGCACTGATCAACAGGGGTTCGTTACAAATGTCTGAAATACACATATTCTATAGACCTACTGACACATATGTTACAGACCTACTGATATGAGTCACAGCACACATAAACATTTCAGACATTTGTAACGAACCTGTGCTCCGTTGCAAGATCACTCACTTCAAACGCTATCAGTTTCACGCGTCTCGCATCCACGGACGGTTCCTCGGTTTCTGACGACATGTCAAATAACGAGTCTGTTATAGAATCTACCGACTTTTGTCAGGTTCCCATACAATCAACAAATATATTCACGCCTGGATAGTTCGAATTAACTTCCAAAAATAACTCCCTCGTGGAGGGCAAGGTCAGATGTATGGCGTTCACTGTATTTGTCCATGCGCCAAATTTGTTCCGGGGAAAAATCGAAACAATTTCAAATCCAACTTTCAGCTCAGAGTTCTATTGATAAACTTAAATCACCCTATAGACATATCATTCGCAATTGTATTGATACTGAATTGTGGAATAAAATTTCAAAGTACTCCTTTGTTTACCAATCAGCACGCGACAATACGCTGTTCAAACTATTGAACGAAATTGTGTGGACTGTCGATTAGGCTGGCATTTTTAATTTTAAATATAAATTATAAGTTAAAAAAGAACATAAGAGGCAGCGAAAACGTAAATATAAGTATTGAACTGTTTTTGTATGGTATTTATGATATATTTGAATGACACAGCTTTGCAAATAGATCATAAATACCATACAAAAACAGTTCAATACTTAAGACAATACTGCTATGTATGCTGAAGATACCTGTAACCATCAGTTCAATCAAATTCTCATGATATAATAAACACAATATCTCGTGCTTTACATAATACATGGGAAATTATCGCCTTGCAGTTTCATTTTCGCCCTTTAATTTTAAATTTATCATAATAACAAACTATTGTAATCAACATAATATACATTAAATTACAATAAATAGGCAAATTTAATATTGGGCGAAAATGGATTTTACCGTCGAAGGGCAAGATTTCACTGTGCAAAAAATATCCCGTTACAAAGTAAACATATATGATTTTAATAGTCTCGCAATAGATACATATATCTTTTCTAAGATACACACGTATCTACAAATACCACACGATAAAGGGTCGTTGTGTCCAAGTGGTTGAGGCGTCTGACATTCTGCTTCTACTATTCCTCCACCACTGAGTCGCGAGTTCGAGGCCTACGTGGGGCAGTCGCCAGGTACTTTTCGCCGGTCGGTGTTTTTTCTCCGGGTACTCCGGCTTTCCTCCACCACCAAAATCTGGAAAGTCCTTAAATGACCATAGCTGTTAATAGGACATAAAACACAAACGAACCAAACTACACGATAATTAACTAACCCACAGACTTGAGTTATGTGACATTTACCAGTGCACAATAGAATACTATACCATTATACGACTTTCCCTAAAATTTGAAAGCTTTCATTTAATCACACGAAACAGGATATCACCGCTCCTTCATGCATGCTTATATTACACTGGCCTGGATAGAGATCGATGTATTGGTTGGCGTCCATACTTCTGTAAATGTGCTGTAAATATGAGAGTTCGGAATCAATCATTTAGATCATTCTCAATGTTATTATTTGTATAACACACCGTTTCCATTTCCTGTAACTAATAACGACGTTTTGTAAATGGCCTTTTCAAATATGTCACCACTCTATCAGGTTTGTAACGTGATATGAAATGTCGTCAGAAAACGGTTGATGATATTTGGGTAGGGTTCAAAGCCATGCTTATGCGCGTGTTACTTCATCACGTATAAAAGGTCAGAATTTTAATCGATAATTGCTTGTCCGTTGGACTGATAAAGTCATTGTCCTAGAGCTTTTTTTTTTTTTTTTTTTTTTTGTAATAATATCCATATCTGTTTCTGAAAGAAAAAAATATTTGAATTCACTTAGCTAGATATTTTATAAAGAGAAAAATGGAACTCTTGACGTTCCAGGTATTTTTTATTTTTCCAAAATGTTTCAAGAAAACCGGAAAAGTTACCTATGGAAAACAAATCTAAAATCGTCAACCCTCCAAAAAAATCCAGGTGCCGTAGACCATGTTTGAACAAAACCTGACATAAGTAGTTGTTTATTCAAATTTTCAGTCAGCTACATTTTTTTACACATATTTTACAATTACTTTTGCAATTTTCGTCTTAGGAATGTTGAATTTATGTATATGCAGTTTAAGTTTAAATTGTTATGCTAAAAAACGTATATAAATATGTCGTTAAGCATACGTAGTTTTGCACAGTTGGACCCAGGTAGATGAAGATTTTCTTCATAGATGGAAAGTCAAGATTTCGCTCTCGAATTCAGGAAATCTACCATCTGTCCCGATTGTAGTTGTAGCAAATAGCTCAGTGAAGTGTTCGCTATCACATATGATCATAGAGGTGGTAGATAATTATTCCGTGTGAAAGTGAAAATCATGTTCTAAGACGAATTTAATCAAAGGAATCTTGTTTTGTGGAATTTTCAACTTAGCACAGGTGATTAAAAACAGAATATTATTTGAATCAAATACTTTTGTAGCTAAAGACGAATTGTAAGAAAAGCATATTGATCTACCGTTAATTCTTATTTATAGTAATCAATAACATGTTTTCAACGGGCGGTTTTTTTTCTTTTCTGTTTTTTCTTTTTTTTCGAACTTTGTATATATTTAGTAAAAAAACAACAAGATTTAGTGTTTTCAAAAAATATTATCTTATAATCTTGCTCATATCACTATTTTTACTCATGCGAAACAAACGCTCTCTTCGTTCCGAACGGCATCCATGTTGTCTGGATATTGACAAGGTTATGGTGTATATGTCAACTTTTAGTGGTTTTGCTACACTAAGGATTAGGATTTAGGATTCATCAGTGATGCTAAAAGTCAAGAGAATAAAAAGTCCGCGTCTAAAGTGTTTACTATAATGTGTGCTCGTGTCCCGATCGGACGTGAAAAGGTATGGGGTCACCTGCCCGACCACGCTGGTTTTCTCAGGTTACTCCAGTTTCCTCCCGCATTAGGACCTCCATCCCGGCGCTAACATCCGGACCAACAATTAAAATAAGTGTAAAAACTTATTTCATAATTGTTGTTAAATTTTTAAAGTTTATAGTTTTTATAATTATGTTTAAAGTATTCAAAGAGAAAGATATGGATGACTTAATCTATCTTCAAACATCCAATCTACAATTTTTGCAGACGCTTACTCTTTAGATGTTACGTACCAGCGCTCATTCAGCCTTATGTTGTATTACTGTCGTTTATTTAACCTGGTATTGAAAGATGTTCACCCCCAAAAAAAAGGTTTCTGTGGCAGCAGTTATGTAGAATCTTACAGAAGTCATCATTTCGAATGAAATTTATTTAACGATTCTAGGAAAGATAAAAAAAAAATCAAAAAAAGTCTTAACGAGACAAAACGTTCTTAGACTCGTTTCATAAGTCGAAAGACATTTAAACCCTCTCCATCACGATTTCAAAAATTGTGCCGAATCCTCTTTTTTCGCTTAAGGATCCCTGTCCCACTGCACTGTTGTTTTTCGTTTAGATAGTGACCTCTTGAGCTCCTTAACATCATTTTGGATATAAATGTAGCAAAGTTTGCCAAGGGTTACTTAACAAACAGCGTCGGTGGTTAGAACGATAGTAACACAATCCGAAGGTCTGGGTTCGAGTCAAGGTCTTTTTACTTTTTACACTCAGAAATCTATTGTTGATTATATTTTGCTTTTATAAAAGTCCTTAAAAGTATGCTGGCAAACAGCTTCCTATGCGTAGTTATTTTTTTTGACATGGTTAGGGAGATCTCTAAATATCCCAAGAATTCTGCAAAAATTAAAAAAATATTGTTTATCGAATATTCTAAAATAAGTCTCAAAATCCTCCATCTTGGCACATTTTAAATTTTCTCCAACTTGACGTCATAATTAAGGTCCGTTAATCATTTTATTATCATTTATGACGTGTAAACAATTTTTGTATGAACCATGTGCAGAGTATTTGAAAATATTGTCTTAATTACATGTCAAACATCTTATAAGAGTGTGATATTTCACAGAGGTCGCGTGTGACGGTGACGCGATCATATGCGCAGACACCGGAAAATGCATTCTGCGCAAATGGGCATGTGATGGTGACAAAGACTGTGAAGATGGGACAGACGAACTCAACTGTAACGGTTGGTAATTCTTATCAATATTTATAAGCAGCAATACTAAGCGGCAACAGTTTATCAAAGAAAAAAACCCACATTTTATCAAAGAAAAGAAAAAGTTTATCAGAAAATCACACAAGGCATATATTCGCAAAAGGAATATGATTATATTTGGACTTAAAAGTACATAAAAATGTCAGATTGTGAACGCCTAAAGAGGTCTATGTGTCCAAATCGGCATGTAATCTATGACAATGAAACGCTAGAATTCCATTTATTTTAGTAAACGAATTACATGCGTAGGGATTCGAATTGGTCGTTAAAATTTAAGGCAAACAGATATGATTTATATCTTTTCTTGAATAATAAGTTTTTGAACTGTTTTTTTTTACAATTTCTATCGTTTCAATATCTGATACCATTATTTACTTTTACTTATAATTATTTCCTTTAAGTGTAATTAATTGCCGGATACAAAAGTGCATTGTATGTATAGATACCTCTACAAACGCCAAAACAACGGCTAGTGGGTATTCAACATCTACCGCGACGATATCTAAAGAAATAGTATCATCATCAGCATCCGGAACTGCAACGCAATCTACAAAACCAGACTCTGTAACATCACCAATGGTATCACACTCCACGTCATCAATGACGGCCGGAACCAAAGGGCCATCTACAAAACCTGAAACTGTGACGTCACCGATGATTTCACATTCCACGTCATCAATGACGTCCGGAACCATATTGCCATCTACAACTCCTGCAAGTGTGCCGTCATCAGAATCGTCAACAAAATCAAGGACTTCAATATCTACAATGACGTCATCGTCGTTAATGGAAACCACATCGACGTCATGTGTAGATTCTTTAGGTGACACGTGCAAATACGTCGTCAGGACGCAAAAGTGTTCATCGCCGGAAGTGCGTAAGAACTGTCAGAAGTCGTGTGGCTGTGGCCATGGTTTGTCAATAGATATACCGGAACCTCCGGAACTAACCCTTCTGATGACATCATCAACAGGTATAATGACGTCAGCGGCGGATTGCGTAGATGTCGATACAACCTGTGAAACACTTAAGTTTACGATAGAAATTTGTAGAGCTACAGAATCAGCATATAAATTGTGCAGGAAAACGTGTGGACTCTGCAGAGACACCTTCACCGAGCCGATGACGTCTACTTCAGCAACAGTTGCTGCAACAACAGGTAAACAATAAGCTTTAAAACATCTCTAAAACTTGTATAGGCCTAGCAATTATAGTTGACAGATATGAAGATTAAGATTACTTAAAAAAACTTAACGTGTTTCATGTGAATTGATAAGTACGTTTCATTATTGACAGGACAAAGTTATTAAAATCCCTACTTCTTGTGTTTCTATCATATACTGGTCTTTGTACATAGATTCGTACGCACGGATCACCCATGCCGACACTCACAAGAAAAAAAAGCATCCTCCCATCAATTTATACAGCCAAACCTATCTAATGATAAAGTTTGTCATATCGATTTATTTTTAAATATATTCGATATATTGTCAAACCTCTGTGTAATGCCACAGTATTCGTGAACAAACGTAAGCAATGTGACAGTGTGACTTTAGAATACAGTGTACAACATGATTTGGTTCAAACTTTCATTCCTGCTCTTACCGTCAAGTCACTCCCTATATTGTCCTCGTCTCCCAAGTTGATTCGATGACAACCAGTTCATCAGAACTCGAAGAGGTTGACAGAGCCCTGTCTTAATGTTATATCTCTGTGGCTTAACTGAGCATTCAGTTGGACTCATACTTGTTTAAATCATCTTCAAAAGCCAATATAAATGCATTCATCATATATTTTTTTAAATATCATCTGTAAAAGTCAAGGAAAAGATGCATTCATCGTAAAAACCATTATATCCATTGAAATAATTTAAGTTTAAGTTAACAGAATTTGGAGGTATGCGGAATAAATCTAGAAATGTCGTCCAGTTAATTAATTACCCTTCACTGATAAAGTCTATATTCGCCCAGTGTAAATGTCGCCCTTTATATGTAACTATCTCTATAAAGGGTAAATTGTGAGCATACAGCTTCCATCTTATGCGCTTTTGTTACTTTTTATCATCTCAGAAAGCTTTCCATGCGGTGCGCATGAGTTCTATTGCGCTTCTGGAAATTGTATTACTGCGCAATGGAGGTGTGATTCGGTTGAGGATTGTTCGGATGGTTCTGACGAAAGAGGCTGTGACGGTAAGCTCACTAGGAAGTGATGGTAAACTCCCTAGCTTATGATGGTAAGCTCAATAGGACTTGATGATCAGCACACTAGTATGAGATGGTAAACGAATTAGGATGAGATGGTAAACTCATTAGGCTGTGATGGTAAGCTTACTTGAATGGGATGAGGTGGTAGGCTTACTAGGGTAGGATGATAATTTACTAAGATGTGATGGTAAGCCCATAAGGATGAGAATAAACTCATTCGGATGTGATGATTGGGTCACTAGGACGAGATGGTAAGCTCACTAGGAGATGATGGTAGTTTTACTCAGATGTGAGTATAAGCTCAATAGGATGTGATGATAAACTCACTAGGACGTGATGATAATCTCACCAGGAAGTGATGGTACAAGTTCATTATGATGTAATGGTAAGCTCACTAGGAAGTGATGGTACTTTCACTACGATGTGCTGGTAAGTTCACTAGTATGTAATGGTAGATTCACTAGCATGTGATGGTAAGTTCACTAGAATGTTTTGGTAAACTCACTAGGTAGTGATGGTAAACTCAAGAGAATGGGATGATAAACTAATTAGGATGCGATGGCACTCTTACGAGGATGTGATGGTAAACCAGAAAGTGATCATCTCATTGACATGATCAGTTACGTATAAGTCTCCGTTCTTAAGGACCCCTGTCCCACTGCATTGTAGTATTTCTTACTGTATATAGAGTTACCCCCCTTTGCTTTCGTTTTGGAGTCAACTGGAGTGCACAGTTTGTCAAGGACACTCCTGTTGACCAGGTAGCGTAATCGGTTCGAACGATAGTATTACAAGCTGAACTTCAGAATTCGAATCCTGGTATTGCCTTGCTGAAATGTTACGCTCAAAACGCTGTCGTTAAAAATATATGTTTATTTAATTTGTTTTTTCACTTGAGTCCCGCAAAGTATAGTTTTCTTTTCAGAAAACGTTTATTAAAGCTTCCCATGTGTATTACAGCTTAGGGCAGTGGTACGCTACTTTTCCCCTTATACTTGGCTTGTATTTATATCATTACAATACATGTACTCTGATCATTATCATAGTTCAAAAGTAATTAATATATTTAGGAGAAAAACAAATCAGCTTAATTTTACTTTATTTCAGCGAATATCGTCAGAACTATACAACCGTTAATACAAGTAACAAATACTCCAAACCCCACGACTGGAAGACCTACAGAGCCAACGACATCAACACTGCCATTAGCGATGACGTCATCGGCATCTGTGGTCACGACATCGTCGCGTGATTGCATTGATCATATTTCCACATGCGACACACTTATAGTCTCCATAGATATTTGTAATGATACAGAATCTGCGTACACGTCTTGTCGAAAAACATGTGGACTGTGTGATGGAATTTCTACCGTTCTGATGACGTCATCGACACATCCGGCGCATCCAACTGGTAAGTTCTATTAACAGAGTCTATCATATGTCAGTGTGTGGGATATGGATATTCTTCTCGAAGGTGAAGAATTTGGGTTGCAACCGGGACTTTACCGATATTCTGACATCAAATTTCGCACCCGCGGTTCCATATAACTACAAAATGCTTGACTCTTTTTCTCCCACCTACAAACTGCAATTTAGAAGAAAAAACCCGAAGACAAAACAATACAAATGGAACACTTTATATAGAAAACGCATACATAAACTCATGTTTGTTTGTTAACAGAAGAAAAGTACCTTATATCGAAGTTATACCTCAAACTTAAAGATCAATTCAAGACCTTCGGGGGAGGCTTGTACATCAATTCTTATTTGATTGAGGAGGTGTTACACGTATGTGTTTATTTATTATTATAACTTACTTAGCACAATGTCCTAATGAATGTGACATATAATTTGATAGCAACATTGATGGACGGGTATGACCTTATCAGGTGGATGGGTCATTAAGAATTCATCAATCTAATGAGTGGATTTCATAGGTGTTGAAAAGCATATCCCTTGCGATATTTTTGACAACATTATTCCAATTAAACAAGTGGATCATTGTAGAGGGATTTATACTTCCGATATTCATGGAAAAGAAGATCTATTACACCTATTGGTAAAATACATGTCATAAAGTCATTAATGGTATCCCAATTTAATCACTTGTTTATTTCTTTACCAAATCCCAGTGCCAAATTTCTTCATAAACTCAATTGTATCCTTTATGAATTTCTCTGGAATGGTAAGGTTGATAAAATAAAGAGAGATGTTGTTGTTAAAACTCATAGAGATGGAGGTTTTAAGATGGTACACTTATTGTCATTTATAGAATCTTTAAAATCAAGTTGGATAAGGAGGCTTCTCCAAAAACAAGGCAAATGGCAGGAGATATTAAAAACATATATCAATATTGATCTTCTCTTTAACTGTGGTAATAAATATATATCTATATGCCAAAATACAAGTACAAATGTTCTGGAAAGATGTATTTAAAGCATGGAGTATACTTTCTTATAAAGAAGATCTTGTATTTTATCCTGAAAGGTATAGATGTGGAATTACTATTATTAATGATTTGATAAAAAAAAAATCCCCCACACATACATGTTATACACATGATGAATTTAATAACAAATACAATATAAACACAAACTTTCTGCAGTATTATGGTATCCTGTCAGCTCTTAGATGATATATTAATCAAAACAATATTGGGCATAATACCACGGTAGGCTAAGTGTATCCAATGATTCCCCTTAATTTGGATTTTTTTTACAAAAACACCAAAGGAGCTAATGACTTTTATGTAATACTTTCTGAAAATAAGATAATTCCAACTGGTAGGAAGAAATGGGTAGAAATATTTGACATTAGGGACAACAAATGGGAGAAAATATATCAAATTCCATTTCGCACAACTACTAATACAAAACTCCAGTGGCTCCAAGTAAGAATTCTCCATCATATTTTGACAACAAATATATATCTATGCAAAGCCGGTCTCTCTAATAATCCTTTATGTGTTTTTTGTAATCTAGATAGGGAAACAATAATTCATACATTATGGGAGTGTGCCATTGTACAAAATTTCCTATACAGTTTTGAAACATTACTAGAAGCTTTAATTATCCCATTTTCTTTTAATAAGGAATCCTTCCTTTTCGGAATAGTGTCACAGTCAGGAATAGGCAACAGACTAGATAATGAAATTTTAATTATGATCAAACACTATATTTATAAAACAAGATGCCTTCAAAACACTTTGTCAGTAAATGCTTTAATTAACAGCATAAAAGACCATCATTCTGTACAAAAATATATAGCATGTTGCAAGGGGGATAATTTTGTAAGAAAACTGGAAAGAGAATGGAAAAAATGGAACCACCTCCTGGAATTTTAAGCCAAAATTAAATAATTTAATATCATCAAGTCAGCAGATACAATACATCTCCTCCCACAGTATAGTTCTCATTTTATATTTTGAAAATACACTGATGCACATACATGTAGCCAGCACACACTAAGTTTTTCACAAGGCCTTTTTTCTTTGCAGTTATGTCCCTTTTACCATACCTGTATTGAATCTTGCCTGAACTCCATTTTTTTTTTTGTCCCTTTTTTGTAAATTTAGGTTGATGTTTCTGTCTGAAATTATTAAAGTTAATCTCTTTTATGATATAGATATATTTTGTCCTGAGTATTACCCTCATTTCTCAGCCACTTTTTTTTTGGTAAATTTATATGGCTGTATTTACTTGCAGTTTAAAGCCGAAAGCACCCTACTTACAATTAATACAGAAGATTATCTTATAATCTTATTATAAACATAAAGTTTGTTTATTATTGAGCTGCAGTGCAAAAACCAGTTTCTCCTTTTCTTCCTGTTTCTGTTGACTTTCTCCGTTTTTCATTGCTATTTTTTTCCCTCTTCTTCTTTTCTATTCTCTCTCTCTCTCTCTGTTCTCATAAAGGCAATATATGTGTACATGGGTATCATTACATGTACCTGTGTCTAATATATCAACTGATGTAAGTAAGAGTATATATGAGTCGTGTGAGGTATGAATATATAATATGAATTGTTTGAATGTAACTATACCATATATTGCAAAAAAATCTGAATAAAAAGAAAATTAAAAAAAAAAGAAAAAAATGTTAAAGCACAAGTAATATAGATTCATCGTAGTGTAAGATTGGTAGATTGGAAGGAATTTGCCGACTTTCACATGTTTCTCAACTCAGTCACCCCTGAAATTTTGCAATGAACTATTCCAAACTTTGAATTGGAGAAGTTCAAATGTGACTTCAGGGGTGAATGAGTAAGGGAACATCTAGTTCTCGCCTGCAAATGCGGAGAGAGAAAATGTTTTGAAAACGACGTATTCCATTAGCGTAAACACACACAGTAATGTAATCCATGTACATTTCACTGCAAACTCGCACTGATCTCAAACCTTCAGTTTCAGATTTTTTTTCTGTTTTAATTGTCAGATCATCATGCTTGTGAACAGAATGAGTTCCTGTGCGGTACGGGGTCGTGTATCCCCTCACAGTGGCGTTGCGATTCGGTTGAAGATTGTGTTGACGGCAGTGACGAAAAAGCTTGCACGTGTAAGCTCTCTCAATAATAAATGTCCATGCTATTGTATTGTAATTGTAAAAATAGACTTGATGAATAGATTTTTGTATATATATATACATTGCATTATCGTATATTTAGAGTGTTGTTTAATCGTGCAAAGATGCTTTTGTTTTAATATTAAAAAAAAAATCAATCGACGATGCGTTGATCAAACATTTTTTAAAAATCATTTTTATTTGTAAATTAATTAGAAAAAAATTCAAGCTTGGATTTAGATTAACTTATCAATGTGTTCGAAACACGAAAGTACTTTATTGGTTTTACATTTTTTAAATCATTTTTTCATATGTTTTGTTATTTTATACATATTATTTATTCATATTTTTCAAGTTTAAATGTCATAACGTATCTTTTTCAGCAAATATCAAAACAATTCAACCTTTGATCGACCCGCATTCAACTCATGCACCAACGTCTAGATCAACAGTTTCGATGACGACATTACCCGTGATGACGTCATCATCTCATGTAGGAATGACGTCACCAAGTGATTGCGTCGATTCGAATACCACGTGTGATACATTGATGTCATCCATAGGCATTTGTAATGATACAGAAACTGCTTTAAAACTGTGTCGGAAAACTTGTAATTTATGTGGTTTTAATTCAACAGATACCCAGACTGTATCTCTGCTTCATAGTACGAAGGGTAAGTGAAATATTTGGTTGAATTTCAAATATCTCTATGCATGCCGATAACTAGTTAACTATATATTCATTTCTACATAAAACGGTGTGGTTATATTCTTATTCTAAACATATTACCTTAACCTAACAGTTATACAGTCAGAGGTCTGGTGTGGTATTCGTGACGTCATAATAATTGTGACGTGCAGCACACTGTCTTCTGATTGCAGATGACTATTCATTTTGTAACAAAATATATCCTCAAAACAAGACAAATTCTGTATTCAATAAAAAAAAATAAAAAAAATATAACAATACCATATCAACGATCTTGTTCAAAAACATAAAATTTTCAGAGAATGCCCATTGCATTATAAACTTGCCAAGAACGATTTTTTTCCAATGAAAAATTGTTTCCAATGTAACACCAGTCGAGTTACTCCCCTTGAAAACAATAGAAGGGACATAACTCTAACTTCTTTGTAATTTATATTCCTGTTGCATTTGACATTTTGTGCTGAAAGAATAAAGATTGATCTTTGCAAATTTTATAATAGATAATAGATAATAGATACAGTATACCAAAATGAGATGCACTGCACGTTACAGCTGTTTCGTCCTTCTAGCATCTTCGATGCTTTGGGTCGACACTTTGGAAATCCAGAGTGTTCTAAAATATTGTCGAAGCAAAAGGGAAAGGTGCATAAAACCACATAATTGTATTACTTTTCCATAATAAGAGTGTTACTTGTGATTTCAAATTAGAGATTGAGTAAAGTGTTAACATAATGAATCGTCCCATTGAACGGAATATACAATCGTGTATGTTGGTTTTTATTTTTATTTGTGACGTTCGAACATGCATTCAGTTGATTGTTTAGAGCAGTATATTTACATTTGCATGGCATTGCCACTATATAGCCTCTTTGAAAGATGTGTCGTTGATGGGACTTTAATTACTATGCATCACGAGACACAATTCTTAGCGTATTAATACAACACTGACCGGAACTACAATATCCAATATAAATAAACATGACGGTTGCTGAAATATCGCTGGGCATTGTGAGATTTGACAATGTCATTGTAAATTTATGGGCAAAATAAAAAATAAAAAAAAACACTTTTATTACAACGAAAACAAGACCAAGGTCTGCAATATCTTACAAAATGCACATCGGTTGAAATCACCAATGCCGGCAATGGAAACTATTTTAACGCTCATGCAATTTATCAGAAATATCCTGTTACACTGCAGTGATCAACAGGGATTCGTTACAAATGTCTAAAATACACATATTCTATAGACCTACTGACACATATGTTACAGACCTACTGATATGAGTCACAGCACACACAAACATTTCAGACATGTGTAACGAACCTGTGCTCCGTCGCAAGATCACTCACTTCAAACGCTATCAGTTTCACGCGTCTCGCATCCATGGTTCCTCAGTTTCTGACGACATTTCAAATAACGACGCTGTTATAGAATCTACCGACTGTTGTCAGTTCCATACAATCAAACAAATAAATTCACGCCTGGATTCTTCACAAAATGAGCAAAGAGAAAAGTTCGAATTAACTTCCAAAAATAACTCCTTCGTGGAGGGCAAGGTCGGATTTACGGTGTTCACTGTATTTGTCCATGCGCGAAATTTGTTCCGGGGAAAACTCGAAACAATTTTAAATCTAACTTTCAGCTCAGAGTTCTATTGATAAATTCAAATCACCCTATAGACAAATCATACGCAATTGTATTGATACTTAATTGTGGAATAAAATTGAAGTGATTGTTACAATTTCAAAGTACTACTTTGTTTGCCAATCAGCACGCGACAATACGCTGTTCAAACTATTGAACGAAATTGTGCGGACTGTCGATAAGACGGACATTTTTAATTTTAAATATAAATTATAAGTTAAAAAAGAACATAAGACGCAGAGAAAACGTAAATATAAGTATTGAACTGTTTTTGTATGGTATTTATGATCTACGTGAATGACACAGCTTTGCAAGCAAACAACATAATGCGCGCTACAGCTGTGTCATTCAAATAGCTCATAAATACCATACAAAAACAGTTTAATGCTTAAGTGAAACGCCTCCTTTGGTGTCTTTAGAATGTGTGCATTCGGTTAATGTTTTATTCTTTCTAGAGCCAGCGACGTGCCGGGGGTTCCTCTGCGGTAACGGACATTGTCTACCAGAAACTTTTCACTGCGACGGTGTCAAAGATTGCTCTGACGGAAGTGACGAATCTAGCTGTGGTATGACGTCACATAGTACATGCGCAGTTCCTACTATTTATAAATTAAATACAAAAATGTCAGTCAGCTCTAATTCCGGTTTTATCTATAAGAATGGTCGAAGTAGATGTGTCATTTTGACCATAAAATAACAAGTCATTGGTGTATATCTAAAATGAATCCCTGAAATTGAGTGAAGGTAAGTATGTGGTCATTCAATTGTGAGGTATCTTGTCATCTATACCTTTGTTTTTGGTTGTTTTGTTTCTGTTTTTGTCTTGTTCAGTCGACTCCGAATTTTTATTTTCAGTGTTGAAACCATTGGTATACGATTTGCTTGTTTCGTATGATATAACATCTTGTAAAAAAAACCACCATATGACGTATACCATTCCGCAATGGACTTCAATTATTAACACTTCAGGAAGTCAACCCAATGTCGTATCATGTTGGCAAAATAATTATAATCAATTATGCAAAACATTTTGTTTAGAAGTTGCTACCAATTACACGTATTTGAATTTATAGAAGATCTTAGTTTGTTTTTCTCCACCCTATGAAAGATATTTGCCTGTTGAAAATATGTTTGATTATTGAATAAAGAACTGTTAAAATTACCCATGTTGGTGAATTCATTGCAAAAGTTGATGCATATACAATTGTACAGCTTCTAATACAAAAAGACGACCGGCACTGTATGTGCTTAACCCCAATGCAATCCTGTACTGTACGTTTGGCCTTTAATAAACTATCGTTTTGATTGGGCTATATGATCAAATTATCCCGATCTACTCTGTTTAATACACACAGTTAATGATGCAAAAAATAGAATTCACTTAGTAGAAAAAGGGTAATTATTACTGAGAAATGTTTTGGTTCGTTTTGCTTTTTTATCATGTGCCTGCCGTGTCAATCACAAATCAGCAATTCTCTGTTTTTAAGACTTGTTTATGCTTATTCGTGAATGATTAATTGAGTTGATCTCGAAACATGTTCAACATTAACTGCTTTCGTAGTTCAATAAATTTGTTTCGAGACCAACTCCATTCATCATCCCATGAAATGGACCTATCCTTATATTTCAATCAATATGTATTTTTGCCGTGATTTGAACCTGTAAAAGTCCACTCTGATATTTTGTCCCAGATTCTTGAGCTTTTGCAAACCTTAGTACTGACGTAATGTAAAAAATATAGTCCGTTATCGAAGGACCATCATACAACATGATGGTATACGGATAGTTCATTACAGCCAAATTATCAAGTAACAAAACACAAAAACATATTTAAAGTGTCATATTTATTTTTTATTGTCGAATTCATAAGTTTAAAAACCAAATGCTGACACGTATTCATACGCACAGGATGTCTGTTGATGAATTCTTAAGTTAAATAAAAACAATATACGCGTATTCATACGCACAGGCAATGTTAATCTGGTCAATTTCATAGGCGAATGAAACAGATAACATTAGGTAGTTTGCATTGAGTCCAATTTTATTAGAAATTAAAATATTATACCTCTGCATTAATGTTATTCTGTCACCACAGAAAGTCATACGTGCGGTACGAACGAGTTCCAGTGTCAGACAGGGTCGTGTGTTCCCACGAGCTGGAGGTGTGACGCTGTGGAGGACTGTTCGGACGGCTCGGACGAGAAGGGATGTTCACATGGAGGTAATGTAAACCGGCATTGACGTTTGGCAAAACAATCAACACATATTATTTTCAGCTGCTGTACATTAAACTGCCATATTTACAGTTCTAGTAATATTGAAGGTAAAATATTAAAGTCATTTTTTAAAAATATCTATTATTTTTATGGTTTTTAGCTCATGCTGCATAGAGTATAATGCAATTGTTCAATGATATCTGTGTTTATGTTTTTATTATAAACTAGTCATCGTCAAAAATGAGATATCTTACACAGTATATCAGATAAGCATGCGAGATATCTTGTAAAATATATGAAATGTCTTATACAATATGTGAAACATTTCAAGATAATTATTATATACAATGTGTGGTCTTTTCTTCTACAAATAATGTGCAATGCCAATTAAAATTATTGATATATTGAGAAAAATATTTAATGGTTTCCCATTGAATACAATACGTATTTAACGAGTTCGGCAGATCAGTATATAGTCGGCAATACTAGTAAAATATAGATGGTATTCAATTGCCAAACCATGAAGACGTGAGTGTTATTACATAAGGAACATGTTGCTTCAAAATGTAAATAATAATAATAATAATAATTCCAGGTTCTAATATACCGCTTAATCACAACCTAGTTCGTAGGTCGTCTCAAAGCGGTTCGCAAATTATTATCCGTGGTTATGGGGCCTTTGCAACCAGTCAATATCTTTCTCAACTCCCTAGGGAGCATACAGCCGGAGCTGCCATTTCGGCGCTAACGGCTAGCATTCTACAATTCTAGCACTGCCCAACCACGTACTCATTTACAGCTGAGTAGACAGGAACAAGCGGAATAAAAGTATATTGCTCAAAGATACAACACATTGCCGTGCCGTGGCGCGACCCTTCGGTCGCGAGCCCGGCGTCTTACCACTGAACTACCGTGCCTCCTAGCATTAAACATTATACAAGTATGGCCTTTTGTGCTGACGAATAACACAGAAGCCAATAACTGGTGTATAATATGATGCTGTAAGTTGTATGTTGTTTTGCTATATACATAACACGTAGTAATTATCAATTCCTCCAAGGCCCTGTCTTTTCAGTTCCACGGAACGCTCGTTTTAACTTGGGAAATTATGTACCGTTGATGATGTCAAATTCCTGCAAATATTCATTCAATCCATGCCATTTAGACGTAATGGTAGACATTTTGTATAGATCATCTTTACTGGAACGAGCTGCCTTGTAAAACTGTGCCAGGGGTGAATCCAACAGTTCGGCATCGTAGCTTTCGAAGACATCGTCAAAGTCGACGTCCATATCCTTAAGATAAGCATGGAGGATAAGCACTGCGTGTTCGGTGGCCTTTTTGTATTAACGGTATCTTGATCTTCGAGTAGTTTTTGGAAATTTTCGGATGTAACGGAGGCGAAGCGTTCGCCTGCAGCCATCTTGTGTTTTTATCTGACATATCGCGTTCCGGTCAAACTGCGCATGCGCTACGACAAGTCGCGGAGAATTTCCATATAGGCTATATTTAGAAATCGATATTCACCGGATTACCAGTCTACATGAGTTTTTGAGGACTGATCACGTGTATAGGATCCGGCCCATATAATGATCAATGTTAAACCAAGAAGACGACGTGAGTTGCATTTCATTAGGACATTTTGGGATTTTTAGAGTGAGATATTGTGAAATATTGACATGATTTCATAACGCCTTACAGCAAGGTCGTGTGGTATTTTTGTAAGGCACTCAACACAAATCTGCCATTTCCTTCTATCATCTGATGAGGTTTGCTCACAAAAACATAAATGTTTAGAAGTGTATTTACTGAAGAAGTATCATTAAAACAACCACCTTTTCCGTCATAGTTCTACCTTCCTCTTAACAGCAAACCGGAAGCTTAGATATGTATTAAAATACTTATTGAGAAACAAATTGAAATATTGAAGATATAACATATAACAGATGGTCGTTGTTGAGATAGTGCCACCCATTGACTTGGATTATTATTAACACTACATACACAATTATAGATTAGGTCATTGTAATTATGTCTTCATCTTTTCTAACCTACTTTCTTTGTCAATGCATTTTTAACTAAATAAAATATACAACACAAAATAGTTGTGGAAGGATTCGTAATAGAAAATAAGCCCTTTGTTTAGTGCTAAAATCTTTGCTTATACCAAGTGTACTGATACACACATTAAATGTCAACCGCATACGTAAGTAGCATTGTAACCATTCACGAAAGGATAGATATCATCTTCTCTCACACCTGACAGATTTATCTCCCGTTTTGCCGGTGCTAGATTTATCTGTCTCCGCCCTAGGGTTGAGACGGGGGGATTCCCCTATTCATAACAATGGCATGACGTCACTTCAATAATACAATGACGTCACGTCAACAATCCATCAACAAATTGCCTGTATGTGTTTCGGGTCCATGTTTACCTTTATTTCATATTAAAATTCTGTTAGATATGGGAGAAAAAAAATCAATCGCTACTGGTTGTGTAAGGTAGAGAAATCTCAACTCTCGGACTAAGATTTTTTGTCCAGAACTCGGCAAGCCTCGTTCTGGATAAAAAAAATCTTAGTCCTCGGGTTGAGATTTCTCTACCTTACACAACCAGTAGCGATAGGTTCTATTAGTTATAAAAATAATAAAGTTTAAAAAACGCATCCAAAGTCTGTAATGATAAAAAAGTATTCATTTTAGCGGACACAAATTTAAGCGTATTGTGGAGTTTTAGCATCTGTTATGTGATGTCATTGATGTAAACTAAATTTTCCAGGAAGGAGTTTACGGTCAATTGTATCGTGGATGAGCCGGCAACGACCTTATGGTATACGCGCAGCTTCAACAAACAAAAATTGCCATGACGAATTCAATGACGAGATCTGCGATTTCCTTAGGCCACAATGTCACCAGCCAGATATTATCGAGAAATGCAGAGCGACATGCGGCTATTGTGATCAAGGCATCCCTGTTGGTAAATACCGTCAAAATGTTGTTGTCATCCTTCGTTTGTTTATATATTTGTTTTTGTTTAGGGTTTAACATCTTCTTGACAGCTAAGGTCATTTAATGACTGGCCTCCATGTGAATAATAATGCGTGCATGTGTTTATGTGCTTGAGTCATGGTATGTTGGCGTATTTACCTCCTTGTGATAGCGCAGATCTGATGCCGACAATAGTGCTATCTCACTGAAATGCCATGTCGAAGGCACCAAGCTCAACATTCCGCCCGGTCACATGTAAACTGACACCTGATGAACCAGTTGTTGCCATTATTCTAAAGTCTAAACAGTGTACGTTAAGGACTTCGGTATACCCAAGCCTAGGGGCAGAGCCAGTTGTCTACCCAACTGCCGGGAACGCTCAACATTAAAGCGTATTAATTAAGGTATTGCCAAGCTAAGAATGACGTTTTACGCAGAAAATATTTTCAGGAAAAAAATCTCTTTTCCTTTATGAAAGTCACTTGAATGCGTGTACTAGTCAGAGATAATTCTTAAGATAACAATAGGTTCCATGTCGCGATGCATGAAAGATATTTTTTCGGAATTCGCAACATTGGGATGGTACTTCACAAAATCACAAATAAGATTCAGGAAAAATTAAATTACAATAAAAATATCAATACACAATCAGGTCGCCATAGCAAATATATAGATTTTTTTCCCTTGAAATAATATGATTCACAATAAACAAAGCAAGAAAATACCGGAGTGTAAACAAACGTGAAATCCACACTCGAAATCGATAATTGTAAAACAAATAAAATAGAAAGGAGAAGATTCACACAGATACCTTTGAAAAGAAATAAAAGAATAGGATCAAACATTCAGGAAGGGTAAGCGTCTACTGCCAAACTGATATACCTGAAATTGAAGATTTTCGAAGGTCTTGGTCACCTGTCCTGATGGGCTCTTCAAATTACATGCTCATAACTATGATCAAATATTTTTTCTATGGTAGGTCGGTTGCAGAATAAAGCTAGCAGTAAACAGCGTTTCTTCAAATTGAACGTAAAAGCATTTTATGATGGATACATATCAGCATACATAACTTCGTATTACAATGTGTCCCCAAAGTCTGCACGTTGTCAACCTGCAGTGTATAAACTACCTGCATCACACTTACATTATAAGTCGTAATTTGATTTTAATAAATGGTTACCCTTCTTTTTGTCACTTCTGTTTTATCATAATAATGTTCTACAATATTTCTCGTTTGATAGGCGAATCCATTATTATTCTGAATAAATTATTATTATTTTTCAGTAACAACACCCAAGCCATTAACACACAGCCCTGGTACCGTGCCACATGTTACAGCAACGCCGCCGCCAGAGGGCGCCACAGTACCTGGCGTTTCCGTTGGATCTTTTGCAACTACTAACGGGTTGACCTTTGCACCTTCCAGTGGTATGTTTGATGAGTATGCAACAATCATCGTGTGAGGACATTTTATTGCTAACTGTATAGTTTCTTAACCTGATACTCCGTTAAAGACTTGCCATTCAGAAAAGTTGAACTGTTATGTATCAGTAGCACAGTGAGGAGAGACTGATTGCCTACCCTATCCATAAGAAGTAATTACAATGCCTGAAATGTTCTTTTTTCCCACCAGCTCTGAACACTACAACAAGACCTTATTTAGTTATGAAAAAATTACGTCATTAAATTTAATAGTGAAAACATATTTACTTGCTTCAAGTTCAGCACTTAGATTCTCCATGATGTGCTTAGATGTGGAGAGATTTCCATGCTCAGATATGAAAACGCACTAAATCGGTCACTGACGAAAAGATTGGTTTGGTTTGAATTTACTTTGTTTAAAGTCCTATCAGCAGCTAAGGTCATTTAAGGACACGTGTCTCCATGTGTGGTGTGAATGTGTGCTGGAGGCAGGGTATGTTGGTGTATATGCCTCCTTGTGGTAGCGCAGATCATACGCCAACTTTATAGTGCTTATTCAATGAAATTCAATGCCTGCCAAAGGCATCCAGCATAACAATCCGCCCGGTCACATTATTCTGACATTATTTCCATCCCCAATTTCTTCAATAAATATGCTATAAGTTGCTAGGCTATGAGTGTAAAATTAAAAAACCGACATCCCTGAATAATATTGAGTAGAGATATTGGAGCTCAATCTTAAAGAAGAAAAAAGATGTTCTGAAAGTTTTCGGTTTATGTTCATTTCGGTCTCATATCCAGCCCCCTGTAGTGGCGCGTGCTGTGACGAAATGTCGGCCGAGTTCTGTGTGTTCGCCAATCAGTGTGACAGCTACAGTGTGGCGCTAAAATGCAAACGAACGTGTGGACTGTGTACACCAGATGGCACTGAAACAACCAAAGCTGATACAACGACCACTCCATTATCAGGGGATCATTTCAACACTACCATGGCAAGACGACGACAGGTGGACCCCTCAACTCGTCCGTCGACTACGGAAACTCCGGCGGACTGTTTTGACGAATTCAATGATGAGATTTGTGACTATCTTCAACCACAATGCTTCAACCCAGATATAATCATGAAATGTAGGAAGAAGTGTGGATATTGTGGCAAGGATATCCCTGTCGGTAAGATCGTGGCAAAGATATCCCTGTTGGTAAGCTGGTGGCAAAGATATCCCTGTCGGTAAGATCGTGGCAAAGATATCCATGTCGGTAAGATCGTGGTAAAGATATCCCTGTCGGTAAGATCGTGGCAAGGATATCCCTGTCGGTAAGGTCGCGGTAAAGATATCCCTGTCGGTAAGATCTTGGCAAGGATATCCCTGTCGGTAAGATCGGGGCAAAGATACAGCTGTCGGTAAGGGGGTGGCAAAGATATCCCTGTCGTTAAGGTCGTGGCAAAGATAGCCCTGTCGGTAATATCGTGGCAAGGATATCCTGTCGGTAAGATCGTGGCACAGATATCCCTGTTGGTAAGCTGGTGGCAAAGATATCCCCGTCGGTAAGATCGTGGGAAAGATATCCATGTCGGTAAGATCGTGGCAAAGGTATCCCTGTTGGTAAGCTGGTGGCAAAGATATCCCCGTCGGTAAGATCGTGGGAAAGATATCCATGTCGGTAAGATCGTGGCAAAGGTATCCCTGTTGGTAAGCTGGTGGCAAAGATATCCCCGTCGGTAAGATCGTGGGAAAGATATCCATGTCGGTAAGATCGTGGTAAAGATACCCCTGTCGGTAAGGTGGTGGCAAAGATATATTTGTGACTATCTTCAACCACAATGCTTCAACACAGATATAATCATGAAATGTAGGTAGAAGTGTGGATATTGTGGCAAGGATACCCCTGTTGGTAAGGTCGTGGCAAAGAGATCCATGTCGGTAAGGTCGTGGTATATTTAACAATTCATTGACTTTAGCTTCACGAACGTTCGTTATTAGATGAAGGTTCCACAATTTAAGAAGTTTACTTATCGTCTTATTGGAAAACATTACTGGAATGTAAGAAAATCCAGTAAACGCACTCGAATTTTAGCGCTTTATCGACTATTGAACTATCAGCACATTGGTGGTTTTTGGTGCAACCACAAAACATGTAGTACAACAAGTTAAATAAAAACTTCCATTGGATCAGTCATAATTTAGCGCTATGTTTAAAGCAAGAAAAGCGATAAATAAGACCATCACTAATATAGGAATCTATGAAGAACTTAAAGATCTTTTGTTACAGCAGCAATGTAATGAATGACCAGGGTTGAAATATTGGTCTGGCAACATCAAGGTTTTCATTTTTTGTATTTTCTATCCCCCCCCCCTTTTTTTTACTTTATTAAGTTATCAACCTTTTGTCATGGATTTTTTCTTATTTTCTATTATAATCATTTTCAAGTTATAGTTTCTTTTTCGATATGATTTATCAGAGCTATAGCCATGGCAGGAAATATGCTACGAATGTATATAGTTACGGTTTTTGACAGAGATATAGGAATTATTAGAAAGATTTTCCGAACAGAAACATATATGTTCTTCTCTAGTGTGTAATCCTTACAAGTAAGTCTTCTGTACCTCTGTAAATATTTCATCGGTGTTTAGATAAATAATCTACTATGTGTGAATATTTTACCTGTTCGTAGTGCCAACACAAAAACCGTTTACGTACAGTCCGGGAACTGTGCCACACGTCACAGTTACACCAGGGGGCGTCACTGTGCCCCACGTCACAGTAACACCAGGGGGCGGCACTATGCCAGCTGCAACTACTAATGGACTTACGTTTGCGCCATCAAGCGGTGAGTTGGTAGATCAGGAGAGAATCATTGATTGGAGTTTGCTTCGACGATTGTTGACCATTAAAACGAGACACCCCTGTTACGTCAAATTGTAATTATGTAACTCATGCTTCGATGACAATTTCATTGATCGTGAATAATATATCTCGCAATTATTTAAATAATAATCCGCGACCTGACACAATACTGCCTAATCATGTTGAATCTCCGGTAAGTGGTTTACACACTTGATAATGCAAAATGCATTTAGCTCATTGCTAAACTCGTGGAATAAGGGTGCTAGCGTGTCTTTATTACAGAACAGAAATATAATTAACGGCCAAAGGTCACCTTCAAAAGTGAAAGTCGGAAAGGAAAAGTTATTGATCAATTGGTATATAAATTGACTTTTACCAAGTGTTCAGAAAAGTTGTATTCACAATTCTCTTTGAAAACTAGCATCATTGGTTATGTTCCTTACCAGCTCCCTGTAGTGGCACGTGCTGTGACGAGATGTCGGCAGAGTTCTGCGTGTTCGCCAATCAGTGCGACAGCTACAGTGTGGCAATCAAGTGCAAACGGACGTGTGGAATGTGTACACAAGATGGCGCTGTAACAACCAAACCTGATACGACGACCACTCCAATGCCAGGAGATGAATTCAATACTACCGTTGAAAGAAGACGACAGGTGGACTCCTCGACGCTTCCGTCGGCTACGGAAACTCCGGACTGTTTTGACGAATTCAATGATGAGATTTGTGACTATCTCAAACCACAATGCTACAACCCTGATATCATTATGAAATGTAGGAAGAAGTGTGGATATTGTGGCAAGGATATCCCTGTCGGTAAGGTCGTTTTACAATTTACAAGTCAATGTCTTAAGTTTCAAGAACGTTCCTTATTAAATGAAAGTTCTTAATTTAAAGAGATTACTTTAAGTTTTATTGGAAACTTTGCTGGAATGGAGATAAATATTGTAAACCTTCTCATTTTAGCGCACTTAAATTTTATCTCTGTATCGTATGTTTTAATTGATTAGCGCATTGGTATATTGGCGCGCCCAAAACATACGTAATAGGAATCGATATTCAGGGATTCTCATGGACGCAGTAATAATTAAGCGCAATATTTAAAGCAAGAAAAGCACTGAATAAGACTTTTATATGAATCTATAAAGAACTTTTCATTAAGCTATAGAACTTTCGTTCACCTGGATCATACATCTTTCTTATTTTATTGCCCGAATGGAAACACATTAAACCACTATATAATGATTGAACATAGAGTAACGTCTCTTTGATTTTGTTTTGAACACAACTATTGCACAATTCGGCCAATATTTTAGTATTGACCGTGTCAGTGGTTACAACGACAATATTATGACTGACCGGGGTTAACATACTGGTCTGGCACTATTCAAAGTTTATAAATGTTGTAGTTTAAACAATGTTTGTTTTCATTTCATTTTGTTATTCACTTTTTTTATTGATCTTTTTTATCTTCCTTATTTTTATGCAGGTTCCGTAAGGTTTGATTTTCTTTTTCGACACGGTTATTTGAGCTATAGCCATGCCAGTAAATATGTTAGGAATGCATATAGTTACATTTTTGACAGTGATAAAGGGATAATTAGATATCTTTTCTGAACAGAAACGTATATTGTCTTCCCTAGTGTGAAATTCTTATAAACAAGTTCTGTGTATGTCTTTAAATAGTTCATCGCCGTATAAATACATATCTCACATGTGTAAATATTTTCCCTGTTTGTAGTGACAACACAAAAACCATTTACGTACAGTCCGGGAACCGTGCCACACGTCACAGTAACACCAGGGGGCGTCACTGTGCCAGGTGCAACTACTAATGGACTTACGTTTGCGCCATCTAGCGGTGAGTTAGTAGATCAGGAGAGAATCATTGATTGGAGTTTGCTTCGACGATTGTCGACCATTAAAACGATACACCCCTGTTACGTCAAAGTATAATAATATTACTCCTGTACCAATGATAGTTTCATTGATCGTTAATAATATATCTCGCAATTATTTAAATAATAATCCGCGACCTTACAACATACTGCCTAATCATGTTGAATCTCCGGTAAGTGGTTTACACACTAGACAATGCAAAATGCATTTAGCTCACTGCTTAACGCGTGGAATAAGGGAACTAGCAAGTGTTTATTACAGAACAGAAATATAATTCACGGTCAAAGGCCACCTTCAAAAGTGAAAGTCGCGGAGGAATACTTTTTTGACACTATTGAAATTGTTAATGATTGATCAATAGGTATATACATTTGACTTTAAAGAAGTGTTCTTAATGTTTTCTGCAAAATAAGTATGCACAATTTTCTTTGTAAAAGATAAACATCATTGGTTATGTTTCTGACAAGCTCCATGTAGTGGCACGTGCTGTGACGAGATGTCGGCCGAGTTCTGCGTGTTCACCAATCAGTGCGACAGCTACAGTGTGGCGCTCAAGTGCAAACGGACGTGTGGATTGTGTACACTAGATGGCACTCTATCGGTCAGTTCTGGAACGACTGATATGCCATCTACAATATCACTTCATCCTTCATCAGAAATGAGCACAACCTCCCTACGACCCAAAATGACGTCAGCAGTGATGCCGTCATTGTGTGAAGACGAAGACAAAGACAATTGTATGGATTTATTGCTACAATGTAGCGATCCCGCGGTTGCGCAACGATGCCAACAGACTTGCCAGGTATGTACCACTGATCACGGAGATGACAAACAGGGATTGAAAAAGAGGCTGCTAGTACAAACCGGAAATGCGTCATGCACCGATGAAGCAGATTCAAGTTTCTGTCAGTTCTTGTCCGATCAATGTTCCTCCTATGCTGTCAGAAGTAGGTGTCTCAGCACGTGCAATTCATGTGATTTAGCGACAAGGCAACCGTCTACTAGTAAACACAGTACTTATCCACTAAGTCCCGGAAGTGCAGTTCCTTCTGGAACTACCGCTCCTAATCCAGTCACAATACATCCAACCGTCGGGAGCTGTGTAGATGCGATATCTGCTGACCTTTGTTCATTGCTTAAAAGTCAGTGTTATTCCAATGCCGTGGCCGTCAACTGTCGCCACACTTGTAATTCGTGCCATTTACAAGCTCCATCGACTGGCCCAACTGTAGGTACAACCGACTCACCACAATCCGGTATGTCTACAAAAGGCTATGTCGTTACAACCGGAAGTAGTATTGTGTCCACAGGAGCACCACGTAAGTTGACTGATTTATTCTATTTTATTTATCAATCGATCCGTTTCAAAGAGATAACGACCAATATGCATTGATGTCCTTGTTCGGTTGCAGTAACTGGCCAAGTTTAATATGTAATGTAAATTTTAGTTCACAAATATATTTGTCGCACGTATATAGAGAATTAACATTTGCGCAACGATGACATTATATAAACCAAGGAACTAGCATGTGGGTCATAGCACTATTGACAGAAAGCAATTGGTAACGACAATGTGACATAATAGAAGTTAACAAATAACGCGGAAGCCATTTTGTACGCTCGAGTGGGATTTTGGACTTCTTCACATGATAATAACATATACCGTTACTTACGCTGTTCAGGGTATTTGTATGTAATGCAGTAAACATTCGTGTTGCCTATGAACCGCATTTGAAAGAAGCTTATTGCTTTTTCGATTTTGAACTCAGAATTAAACGANATATCTAATTATCTAAAAACTATATGAAAGGCGCTGAAATCTTTGATAAAAGATGCTTCCCTGTCATATATTTTTGCTATGTATCTTTCGATAGAGTATGCTGTTTTTAATTTACTGATTAGAGTAGGTAGGTAAAGCTCTTTGCAAAAACACTTTTGACAATATATGTAGTGTTTCATATTAAGAATTATGACATTTTCTGCCCTGTTATTCTGATTTTGATTTTGTGTTATTTTCCCAAAAATAAAATCTTTTTTACATATATTAAAAGTCACATTACAAGTAGTTTGGATCCAATTTTGGAAAGCAAGAATAAAATTTAATTAAACGATTATCTTGAAAACTAACAACGTGAATAAACATTACTCAGAGAGATGGGGAGAATAATTTGTTTTATTATACCTTCTGTTAAAATCTCGTAATCTGATTGGTTGAGAAAGATGTGAACATTTTCAATGTTAATTGCTCGTTTTACAAAGATAAAGAAGACAGGGTGACNCAAGTTTTATCATGATTAATATTCTCTGCAACTCTGTTCTGCAAGAAGGATTTGAATTAAAATATATGTATCTAACCTTTTTTGCTGCAAAATAACCAGTTTATCATTAATTTAAAATTTGGTTCACAAACCTAACTTGCATAGCATATGCCTAGAAAGATAAATAANGAAGTGGTGAAACACCTAAACATGACACTCGGTATAAAAAAATAAAAATCACATTCATGAGAGGGCGATATAGCATATTTTCACCCCTCGGAAAGCATTGTTGACCTCGGCTTCGCCTCGGTCAACACTGCTTCCTTGGGGTGAAAATATGCAATATCGCCCTCTCATGAATGTGATATTTATATAATATTTATTCGGATGTGTATACAAACGTCATTTTTACACTTTTCTCAGATTTGTAGGTCAGGATTAAAAAAGGAAAATCATTGTTGTATATACCTTTCTAGTAGTGTAATGTCCAATCTAACTACCCGTTTATTGGTTGTTGTCATTTTCAAATGCAACATACATGAACAATTGTTCATGTCGCTTACAATGGACATTTTATCCTTCATGAATGTTTTAAGTATGACTTCATCATGACCGAAACAGAAGCACTCGGTCGATTACATTTTTTTATTCTGTTTTTAGTAATCAACATTTTTATCTTTTTTGGAAATGCCAAATATGTACATACATAATAGAAAAATATGTATGCCAAGTTTTTTACTAACTCAATCTGTTGTAGATGTTATTCATAGGACATAACACACACCTACAGTCCTGAGTGAAGTTTAAAGTCATGATAAAATTATTACAACACAGAATATTAAAAGATTGCTTCGCAACAAGTTTATGATAGAACTAACTCCCTTACATTTTAACGTATGTCGTTTAATTTATTTACTTATGTCTTTTCTACGTGTTTTCCTGTTATTCATTAAAAAACACAAACATAACTTATTTTGTATACAGAAAATCAACAGTTTTTTTATTTAACATTTCTGGCTTTTAATTTCTACTTTTGAGTAATGAAATACACAAACTTATCTTATTGTATTTACAAAAGAATTTACAACATTCAGTGGTATGTCAATGGCCTTTATCTTCTCCCATTCAGCCGCTCTTGTCTGCAATAAGATGACCGACGCTCAGACCATAGTTGCCGACCCCGTGCATAGAGTATGCTATTACCACTTCACGCAAGGCGAAAAAGTAGCGGAGGCAACGGCTAGATGCGGCAGGGTCAACTTACACTTGGTTCACCTGGAAACGGAAGAGGAGGAACTCTTCCTTAATACAAAACTACAAGGTGATCATACAATTAGGCTAAGGGTTCCTATTTGTTTGCTAGCGTTTTACTTTCTTGAAGAATGTTAGGCCATTGAAGGTAAGTATATAGAGACCTCCAAACGATTGGTGGTTTGTTATCATCTTTATCTAGTTCCAATTAGTTAATTTTATAACTTTATAAAGACACAAAATCGTCCGAATGTTTTTTATCACCTACCTTCAATGTCCTAGGCTGCGACAAGAAAGTAACGTGTTAGTGTGAGGAGCTTTTTCTCCTAGTGATCAGATATTATATCTTGAAAACGATATGTTTCTTTTACGAATACAATTTTTCGTGTCTCCAATCTTGAAATCTCTTGCCATGAACTATGACGTCATAACGGAATATAACGTCGCAAGGCATTGTTTCTTTGCTTCGTAATTAGAAAATTGAACAATGAAATGAAGTTCAGAGTGATATTCTAGCAGGTTTATCAAATGAGTTGGGAGTGATGAAATCTTTAGTGGTTGTTGTAGAAAACTGTTCTAACAACTGAATTAAAAGAAATCCGTTTAGTTTTGAACAGAAAGTTGGAAAGATGCTATTGATACCCATGTTTAATATGTTATGATACATTTAAATTTCAATGTTATGTCACGATGTACAATTACTAAACTGAAACAGGTCCCGTTATATTATCATTACGTAACATTAAGTATTGTGTCATGATCAATTTATAATTAATAAAATTTGAAAAAAATGTTGTAAGATGAGAAACTTAAAACACTGCGAAACTTTATTCTAAAATTTTAATCAATTGATACTAGTAATCCAAGAATCACGCCAATCACTAAACGTCGACTTTACCTAATACGGCACTTCCGTACGAACTCGTGACCAAATAGTCTAGATATCCTTTTCTCGCACCTCAGACTGATATATCCCACGTCATACCCCATGCCAGATTGTTCTATCTCGTTCGATCTGTCTTGTAACTTTACGTGACATTTCGCGGAATTTTTACACTGCGATGTATTAATCCGCGCGTTAACTGCTTGAAATAGACAATTTGCATTAGAAATATTCTGTTTTATCGATTTATGTATAGTTTTGATGTTGTAAGATATTTGATGTTGTAGATAAAATATAGTCAACACTGCGTACTACGTTGTAATCTATGTAAGGACGGACTACGTTTTTACGCGGAAGCATTCAAATCTAGCTTAATTAGTGAAGTGATCAAGGAAGAGGTCATTGCCACTTGAGGCCCAAGGCGGGATACTTGTAGTTTTTAGCAAAATTAAATATATGTTTTTCGCACTAAAAGATAAGAGAAAAAAAATCAATAACCAGTAACTGAGCAAGATCGGGATATCTGTCTCGGACTAATATTCTGTAACATCCCAACCTCGACTTACGTCTCGGTTGGGATTTTGTTACAGAATCTTCACCCTCGACTGAGATAACCCGATCTCGCTCATTTACAGGTAATAGATTTTATTATAATCGAGAAATGTGAACAAGATAAAAGTTGAAGGGGAATCGGCTAGCAAAAATGTATTCATCTGCTCCATCGGCATATTAACGTTGAAACGATGGTCCTCCTTCTCTCTCTCTCTATCTCTTACGGATGACTTTCTATGTTAGTCAGGTTATGAGGTGAAAACTACAGTTGAGCTTGTGTAGATCTAATATATGTCGTATGCGCATGGTAAATTTATATATCGACCAATATCAACCCTCGGGCTGACGGCCCTCGGGCTGATATTGCAGTCGCGGGTTGATACTAAGTGTGATATGGAAAAAGGCATGTTTTATTCTGTTTATTACATGCTTACTAATAAAAGCTACTCTCTTATGAATTATTTTTCTTTTGAAATATTGAAAAACGAAAATTTTCCAAAAGGGGTGTGAAACGGGTTTTGTGGGCTGATACGGAGAGGGCTGATAGGGGTTTTGGGGTGTGATACGGCGGCGGCTGATACGGGTTTAGGGTGTGATTCGGCGAGGGCTGATATTGGTTAGAGCAATTGTGTCGTATTGCATATACAAAAAACCCGTATTTATTAGTAAATACGTAATAAAAACATATATCATATACAAATACAATTATTTAGAATGCCCCATATATGTTTGCTGCATTATACTTGTCTATTCTATAAGGTAATGCTAAAGGATTTTTATTTAAATTTGTGCAAAGGTATTCAATCGTTAACATTCCACAGCACTCCGTATTTTCAATAATATCGCATTAGATTTATTATTTCATATATAACATTCCCTATCTGTTCTTGGTAGGTTTTATAAGCATTTGATATATAAGTGTAATTTACACATAGATGTATTCATATATATATAGTTAGCGTTTTGTGTGTAGTTTTACTACATATAACACAAGATTGACACTTCATATAGATATTAAGTATTTCAAACGGGAAATGCAAAAACAATATTTATATACTGTAATTTAGCATTTCCTTTTTTCAAGCCGCCGGACATGCCGACCAGTTCTGGCTTGGTCTGGAGAAGATTGGTGGTCAGTGGGTCTGGGTGGACGGTCCCCGTCATACCCCTGTGACGTCAGAGACTCACTGGGAGGGATCTGATGGAGGTACATACGCATATAACACTCCACCAGATCACTGGAAGCCCGCTTCTGACAGTATGTACTATAAGGCCGTGTGCGAGGATAATATGCCCTAGTATACACGCTTAGGACGGAACTTGTTTATGACGTCATTGCCGACACACATCAACTGGAACAATAAATTGGTAATCATTGTCTAGAGGTTTTGAATGGTACAATCGTTGTTATTTACACTCAAATACGTCATCAATTTAAAAATATATTTGATGATGTCAGTGATTTTATCGTCTTTTACGATGTACCCTAATAAAAAAAATCAAAGAAATCACTTTTATAGTTGTACAATAAGGGTCTAAAACAACGTACGTATAAGTTATGTAATTAAATTTTAGTAAACTATATCTATTGCCGAATATTTAAATGTGCAAAACCTGTATGCTGTGTGTGTAATGTTCATTTTTTGTATGGTGCTTATATAAAGAAAAAAGACGGAAAAAAGCACTTAAATAACAAAACGAATAAATTCTCCTCATAAGTGACTTCCTCAATAGTTTCGTAATTAGCTTTTTCATAACCTCAGTAAAATTTATTTAATATGAGTCTTATTTGCAATAATTACCGCCTGGTTATCTTTCAACATGACCGTGACGTCACTTAAATATGTTCTTGGCGATTGCCGCAAATATTTCTATGCTCATAGAGAGAATAGAGGCAAGGGATTTAATATATAATTTTCTCATATGAGCCTATGTAGCATTACCTTTAAATTGAAGACGAGTCTTGGATGTGAAGGACAGTTAATTTTAGTTGTTATACAAGAAGTCAAGACATAACACACTATTCCTCGGATCAACTATTATGCATTCCATTGCTCAGGGGCTTTCAATTGACCACAAGAATATAAATATGCACAACAGTTACTTGAATAGCATGAGCATGGACTGCGTCTGTTCGAACATGACTACCGATGCAGTATCATGCAATTAATATCCCAAATCAACGTCAAAACAAAATACAGATATACACAGAAGTGTCATACAAATGTCCGTTAAGTCACCGAAAGATCCGAACGTAAAGACTGACATCTCAGTTGAAGAACAATCAACAAGCTATACGAATAAATAATTTATCTCACCACACATCTGCGAGTAAACAGGAAGTAGATCGTCGCCATTATTGAATGTTAACATTAGTGTTGTCGGGCCAACTCTCTGTCAGAGGGACATGAAGCGGCCCAATCGTGCACTTGTCGGTACTAAAGTGACGGGCGGCAGGAGGAATTCGTCGTGGTATTAATACGTTCTCAGTTTGTACACAATATGAAAATAATAATAAACTAAATATATATATATACATGATTTATTTTTGAAAGTAATAAGTCATATCAAAAATGATAATGGCTGTTGCATACACCTCCAATAGGACATACTTTCATTATCATCTATTATTGCAATTAAAAAGATGAGTGTAATACTTTTCCAAGTAATAACCATATAAATATATTTCGATAAAAATAGCATAGATTAAACTCTGACAAACAACTTAAAACATACCCAAATGCTTCGAAAGGATAGCTGTTTTATGCACTAAATTAATCAAAGAACTCATCATGATACTGTTAAAAAAACTCAACCATGCATTGACCTGGATGAGTCCATTATGGTCAACAGTGGTGAAAGGGTTAAACAATCAAAGGTATTGGGCACAATTTCTTACAATTTGCTAGGCCCTCTCCCAATATATCATGTTTACATACTGAGATCGGGGCCTGCTTGTTATAGTCTGGTTCGGTAAATATTATTTTCAAAGAAATACCAAGGCAATTACAAATATTTAAAGAAGACTAGTGTTTCCATGCTCTTTCAATTTTCACTAAGTGTATGGAGTTTTTCATGGTTAAGTGAGGCCGTAGATAGCGCACTCGCCTTTCACAAGGACGACCGAGGTTCGATCCTTCGATCGAACGTGTTAGGTATTCGGACACTTGACCAACCATGTGGTGTTTCTTCGGGCACTTCGCTTTCCTCCCACATTAATAACCTCTTCTTGGTTCCATCCGGGCCACACAAAGTGATAAATATAACATAGATTTTATTTTGAATCCAATTCTTATATATTCTTTACTTTCAAGTCCTATTAGTAAAATCAAATACTTTGTATTCTATATCTGTACCCTATTTTTCTTAATATTTATTTCCGTGTTCTGTGTTCACCGGGCAATCAAGCTTCACGCGTAGTTTTGTTCTTTTAAACCGCTTTCTATTTTCTTATTTCGTATTTACACATAACAATATACGTCTGCATAACATCTAATTTACAAAAAAAAAATCAAAAAATTCTGAGTTCCTTTTTTCATTTCTAAAGTCTGGATATACTATAGAGCCCAGTTTAAGTACCATCATCATTGATAAGCTTTCGTTGCTGAGAGAATCACGATCATCTTTTGTGTCATTTAAAATGCCGTCAAATACAGGCATAAAACATATGTAGTGAATACATATTTTTTAGGTCATTTTGTCAAAGATTTTCATAACAATTAACGTTGAAAACTAACACAGAACAAAATACTCGACACAACCAAATAGTTTTGACATATTAAAACTTTATGTCGAATCGAATATTTTCAAAATCTTCGAAAACGAATAATATTTCATATTTAAGTATCACACCTACCATTTTACGTCTTAATTACATGAAATGTACGCAACAAATCCAATGTGAATAAGTTCTGTTCACATTTCAAAATACCTGCCGAGGTTTAGTACATTTCAGTATGTAAACATGTTTCTCTCAGTCCTGAGCGTGTATAATAGAACTGTCCAGGGTACAAAAGGGGTATACTTTTTGTTTTATCTTACACCCATTTACACGTGCGTGGCGTCACGATTGGACACAATGACGTAACGTCACGAAATTAGGACCGTTCAGATACAGATATGCGGATATTACGACACGTCTGAGCTAACTATGTTGATCGAAATGAGAAGAAAAACTCATTCATGCGCAGGAGTGTATGATAGGAAATCCCAAGTCGTGAGTGTTATCGAATTTTAAAACCCCTCCAGTGGAATATTCCTATCCTATATCCCTGGGCATCAAAGAGTCTTGTGACTTTCTTTACAGGGTCATACTTCACAGATTGTAATGAAATCATCACATATACTTTATAGTTGTCCTTCGTAGGGGCCGCGGTGGCCAGGTGGTTAAGGCGTCTACCATTCTGCTACCACCAGCCCTCCACCGCTGGGTCGCGGGTTCGAGACCTACGTGGGGCAGTCGCCAGGTACTGGCCGTCGGTCGGTGTTTTTTTCTCCGGGAACTCCGGCTTTCCTCCACCACCAAAACCTGGCACATCCTTAAATGACCATAGCTGTTAATAGGACGTAAAACACAAACAAACCAACGAATTACTTCGTATCACTTCTCTCCGTCTATAAGATTTTTCATTATGCAGAGAGTAAACTATTCCGTCTTTGCGTATTGCAGGGTTATCTTCTCTTGTGAGCAGGTATTGATTGTTACGTCATTGGTTTGTGAGAGTAACGTCATCAATTTTTGGGAAATCGATGTAATTTTCTCACACAACCCAATGACGTAACAAGCAATACCTGCTCACAGGAGAAAATAACTCTGCAATACGTAAAGACGGAATACGGAATGTAACATAGTTGAAATAAATGATCAAACTAAACAAAAATGTAGTGTCAATAACTACTCTCGAAACTTAGAATATAATCTCATATATTCGTTTGGGTAGGAATACATAGCATGATAAGTGGTTATATTTCAGTGCATACCAGAGTATGTGCCATAATTTCTATATAAAAACTATTATCAAACTATAAAATGTATATAATGGTGGTTAGTTTTGTATAGTCATGGTACTCAAAAAAGCTGTTCTGGGTTTCTTTTACAATCTATAAGTGAAAACATTTTACTTCACCGTCTATACATAGACACCACATCACGCCTTCGTCGTCAACATCCATTCTCCATAACCCTATACAATCACTGAGTACAGTCCTGATGTACCGACCATTTGTATGGTCTATCAATATGACATGACCACTATCGCAGCTTATCAGGATGTTTCCTTCTTTGTCAAAACATACATCATTTACATGTTGCATATCGTATCCAACATCACTCGTGTGTCCATCGGGATACGTTATAGTTCCACCTTCAATGCTTAATTTCTTCTTTAACCTATTGTCATAGAGAGCAATGATTCCTGGATAATCTAATGTACAGGCCATTATGTTCCTTGTTTGGGAACATTCTCTGATTACCCAAGCCTCATTACTACACTCAGTACTGTGCACCACCTCACCACTGACTGTATACAGCGTTAGTCTATTGTAATCTAGAACCAGCACGTCACCTGAACACGTAACACATAATAACAAGGGACGTGCATTGATAGTGAATTTTGTCTTCACTGTTCCAGTTGGCGACACACATCTAACTCTACCATTACGACATACAAACCAAACAGTGCTATCAATAGCTGACACACAAACACCACGTACACATTTCGACTTTAAATCAATGATGGTATGTTGATTACCATCCTTATTTATCTGCAACACACGTGTTGAGTTTAATCTTTTCCAGACATATAACTTGTTACCTACAGAACGGAAAACATCCAAACACCGACAACTCTCTGGTATCGTTATTTTATGTGTGATGTCTCTCATTGTTCTTTTCACGCTGACGTCAACACTTAAATCGCTCCCCCTGACACAAAGCGTATCATTATCCGTGTTGTTGCTGTCAGATTTCAACAGATTGACGTTTTCTTGACCACTCTGACAGTATTCCAAAAGTAGAGTTGTTTTATTTTTGGTCCCCTGTGTGCAAGTGTCGGGTTCTATTTCTGATGACACTGTAAAAACACGAGGACGTAACATCGTGTTGTCTACTGCTGAATCTGTCGGTTGTATACTCAAACCGTTTTCCTCAGGATTGAACATCATCTGTTCCCTGTGCTGTTGGTGTATCGTTTGTGATCCACCGTGTTGTCGTGGCGTTTCCGGTCTTGTATAAGTTGGATTTTGGTCGTTGAAAGTTGACACTGTAGGAATGGCAATTACCCTCTGTTTGTTGGGAAATTCTATTGCTGTAGCTTCAGCACAAAACCATTGGTCATTTGTATGTGTCATTGCTCTAATGCCATATACTGGTGGTTGATCTCTGACAGTTGATAGTGCTGATGTCCCATTGCCAAGTGGTTGAAGTTTGTGAGGTGGCGCTGTTTGTATCCCATAGCTCAAAGGTTGATCTTTGCTAATTGACTCTGTAGATATGCCATGGCTCAATGGTTGATCATTGTGATTTGATACTGTTGATATCGCACTGCTCTGTTGGTGATGATTATGAGTTGAATTTCCATAGCTCAGTGGCTGATAGTTTTGAGTTGACAACGCTGATATATCATTCGTCACTGCTATTTCCATGTGTCTTGACATTTGCGATGCTGAAAATGTTCGATCACCCTTCAATCCGTGATTCATTAACGGCACGACATTTGTACATGTGTCTGTTGAGACTCTGTTTACCTGATCACTGTTGTATGGTATTGTCGACCCGCTACAGTATACATATGTTTGACCGGGGAAGCTTGATGATGTTGAACCTCCGGACATCTCTTGAAAATGGTCTGTCGTCAAACACGCAGGTATTCGTCTATCGCCCACTGCTTCATTCCATTGATATTGGCTACCAGATGCGACTGTATAAGCACTGTGCGGTACTATGTCTCTCGTTACCCCTGGTCTGTTTGATGCATGCACGGACACGCTAGCTTTTGACAACTCAGCATGGTAAGGTATTTCTTCAAGAGCTCCCAATTGATCTAAAAGATGGGCAGGCCCGGGAAAAAGCACGAGATGCGCGTGAGCCTGTCCCTTTATCATATCGTCTGCTCGTGGTTCTGCTGTCATTACAGAAAGCCGTTCTGGTACCGGTAGCGATTTCAGACGACCTCGCTCTTTGTCTGTAAATGTATCTGTATCTTCTAACATAGATTCTAGAATCCTAATTTGGTCTTCAATTTTTTTGCTTGATTCAGATTTCTTTTCCAACAGACCATTGTAATGGGCAAAAACCGTTTCTATCTCCTTATCAATAGATTCCATATTTTCGACATGTACCTGTTTTTGATGTTTGATCTCCTTCTTCAAATTTTCTTCATGTTTCTTCGTTATTTTCTGAAGATACATCCTTTCGTTAGCCGCTAGGTACATCTTTAGGTCTGTAAAGGTGTGTTGCTGATGACTTTCTAGATGGCATTTGTAACATATAGGAAGTTCGCCACATGTCTTACAGAGGTATACCAGCTGTTCCTGTGTGTGTGATTGACATCGATCTACACCTCTGTAAATAAACACAATGATGAGAATGATGATAAAGAAGCCAGGCATGCCACAGGAAATTCAATAAGGAATTAATGCAAATGTCGAACTTAAAAGTTTAAGAAATATACATTATATATTTGTTCTTCAAGAAAGAAAAACAGTATTTTCGTCACTCTTTATTAACTTAATTATTCGCTAGGGAAGATGTATCATTTATCTTAAATGTATTTCAGCTCATAAAAGAAGAGCGCTACCTTAGGTCCATTGCTTCATGTTCAATCATATCATCAAAAACGTCCCGCTCGTCCGAATGAGATAGAAATGTGCTATTAGCTCGAGTAGGATCTCCAATGTTCATATGATCAGTGGGTGCTAGCAATGTTGTCCCTGAATGAGCTTTGCCGTTGGTACCTATTTTCTCATCTCTTTTACAAACAGAATTGAGCAAATGTGTTGTAGGACTTTCCACAGATGCATCATAGTTGGACGAAAGGGATTCGATGGTTACTGATCCTAGAACGGGTATGGTGGAACTGAAACAGAATACATTTTGTATCATCTAAGCCGTAGCTAGCCCATGCTTAGAATAAAAATATACATGCATTTATTGTACGTAACAAATAAACAGAAACCATTAGTAGTCACTAATCAACTGAAAACTTGAGACCCCTATCTATCATCATATTTTTATTTTTTAATACTTTCCGCGTGTATCTTTCTAGGATCCTCTGGTAAGCTCAATGTCAGAATAACCACTCACTTGTATCTTTAAATAGTAATGATAAACTACCAACATTTATAGTAGTATTGCAATCAAAGTAAGCATTTTGCTTCACCGTATAGCGATTTCGACCTGTGCTAATGCTGGAGGTAACACCTATATCTGTTTCTGTAAGCATGATAACGTCATATCTTTATGTTATGCAAAATATTAAGTCCCCTGGACTAATCTTTATAGTGTATTATTTTCATTATATTTCGTTGTATGTTGTTTTAGTATAGGACTATCAAACATTCCATATCTCGGGAAGACTTATATAGGCNTTTTTATTTTGTTTTTTATTTTGCACATTAAGTTACAATGACATTATCAAATCTCACAATGCCCAGCGATATTTCAGCAGCCGTCATGTTTATTTACATTGGATATTGTAGTTCCGGTCAGTGTTGTAATTAATACGCTAAGAATTGTGTCTCGTGCGGCATGGTAATTATGTCTCGTGCGGCATGGTAATTAAAGTCCCATCAACGACACAGCTCTCAAAGAGGCTATATAGTGACAATGCCATGCAAATGAAAATATATAGGCTTAAGCCTGTTGTCCTATCCTTCTTGAAAACAATAAAATATCTTGAATTGAATTGAATTTTGAACATTGACTTATATGACCTTTCTAAATGCAATACCAGAATTCAAAAACAACACTTTCGTCCAATCCTTATCGATACTTATGTGAATCCACTAAAGTATGTGTTCTGTGCATTTTTTTTGTATAAACTTTAACTACGCCTTTGTTGTTTGTATATAAATGAAGTTTTAACACATTTGACTCGAATGAACATAAAAGTCGATCAATGTTAATCCTTTGAACAAACTTAGGAGTCCTTAATCTGAACAGCTACTCGACAAATATCATTAACCTTACCCTGTTGATTATTTGGAGAAGTCTTTATTTCAAATTGAATCCGGACGTACACACGTACGGATGACGGACGACGGACGACGGACGCCGCGCCACGAAAAAGGCTTATGTGGCCGTTTTGACCATATGAACAAATGGTGTTCTTTTAACGTAACACTCCCGTCTGGCGTCAATCGAAAACCATTTGGGAATTTGACGTCACGCTATGATTAATCCCTGATTAATATAACAGCGTAACGGAAAAAACAGAATATTTTCCAATCGCAAACAACATCCATTTGTTATAATACTTGTATGTTTGAATCAACATTTCTATTTGGAACATTTGGTAACACTGTACACAATGAAAATATAAATATTCACAATTACTTGTCTATTTATGACTTTTTAGTGTTTTACTGAAAATCTAAACATTAAATTTCTTATCCAACATTTAAAAAACAAAAACCTTACCTAATTGAGTCGGTTATATGTTGCGATCCTGATTACTCGCGTTAAGGCCATATGAGCTAAATATGTTTTAATTAACATGTTATAAAATTGGAAATATTGTGGAAACAAACAGTGTTTTTTTACGGTGATACACTCCCGTCAGGTGTCAATCGGAAACCACTCAGAAATTTGACGGCGTCGCTCTATGACTGATCCCAGAATGCTCGTAATGTTAAGACCCGAATTTGTTTCGATCGAAAAAAATGTTCAATTGAAAGTATACTCGCTGTTTGTGGTTTAAATCAACATTTGTTTGTTTGGAAAATGTATCTTATCACAACACACAATGGAAATGTTCAGATTTTTAATTACTTGTCAATTTATAACTTTTAAGTAGTTAACTGAAAATTTAAACACAAATTTCTTATCCAATATTGTATCTATGGTTGTTGGAATTATCGGTGTTAAAAACCTTACCTGATTGAGTCGGTTATAGGTTGCGATCCTGATTGCTCGTGTTGCATTGGTAAGTCATCATTTTCTCTTGGTGTAGGTCTTCTATCGAGTGTTGGAAGAACAGCGACAAAATGATTTGGAGTCCATGACTTGGGCTCAACTTGCTTTCCGTGTGTGCTTGTCCACATGATATGGACGGTTTTACTTTTCTCCTGTCGAAACACTCGAGGCATGACCAGACGGTGGAGATCTGGTCTCACATTGTACCCACCATAAGATGGGTATATTGACAATGCTTGCACACCAAGAACGCTAGATAGTGCAAATATGCTCCACATACCATTAAAGCTGTTCGTCTTCAATATATTTTTCACATATTGCCGAAAAGCAAGCCGGACTCCGTCTTCTTCATGTGGGACAAACACATCTGAAAACAATGCCAGAGTCTTTGAAATATTGACTAGTCCTTGTTCTGTTCCTCTTTTTAGATAAGAATCATCTAAGTAATAATGTTCATATCGACACAGTTCTATGAACATCCGGACTCTTATTTCATTATGGTGTTTTTCATTTCCAAAAGCGAACAAACTGCCGACTCGTGGCAGACAGTTTCCATCGCCAACTGTTCTGATGGGAACAAAATCATCAGGTGCATCTTCGTGTGGATACAAGCTGGATGCGACATTATCCAATTGATATCCCGTCACGTCGAGTGTTGGGAGATTTTCTATAGGGTACATTTCTTCGATTTGATGTGAGAATTCATTACACTTCATTTGTAACAAATCAAAGTCCTCCACTTCAGACAATGAAGCTTGTATTCTTTTAAAATATGCTTCTCTTCCTTCGCCACCAGTAACAGAAATAGACGCCATGCCTTCAGCTCCTTTATTGCCACACTGTTCGGTCAACGGTTTGCTTTTCTTGTGCCAGCTGTAAGTATAAATAGCAGGTATAACTGTGCACTATCCTGCATATGAGCGGTGGTGAAAACTTCATACGAAGCTCGGAAAGTTAAGAGTTACAAACTTATATGCAGTGTCATCAATCAAAGACCAAGGAGGAAGATCGTTAAAAATGTACTACTTCTTTTCAAAATTTCAACCAATGATCCTTACATCTTATTGACATTCATGTTGACGGTGAGGGGTACAGGGGGTGGAGTGAAATGGGTGAGATCTTAAAAAAGGTTACTAGGATCAGCCGCTTCGTTGATATGAGTGCATGAACAGGAATCTGTAATGACAGTTAGTTAGTTGAAATTTGCATAGTTAAATTTAATGTTTTCCTCTCACATCATGCGCATTATCAACTGCCAAATACTTACTTGTTACCATCGAAGTTATAGAGTAACACAGGACCACCTTCTTCCTCGATTTCGGCTAATTCGCAAACACTATCTACTGGTCCCTTATCCAAATCTGTATCCATACTAACATGGAATGTGTTAGGATTCGACACTGGTAGTATAGCAAGCTCTCCAGAAGATCTCACATCATCAGAAATAGCTGGTACCCTACCTCTGTCGTTGACAGCTGCTATATTCAATGGGAGAAGTGTAACATTGCACTTTGCCGACTTCTTACGTTCCCGAAATCTCTTTTGTCTTTTCTTACTCAATTCCCTGTCATGCTGTTTCTTCTCTTCAGAACGTGACTGCCTTGCCTTCCGTTTTCGTTTTCGTTCTTGTTCCCAATAGTCTGCATCATCTTTACGCTTTGTGCGCCATTCTTTAGATCTGATGGAACTTACAGATGCCATGATCTCATTATATCAAAATCAATCTAAGGTTTTGCTTGGAAGAGTATATGCCTGATGAAAATGAGTTCACGTCTATGTAACATCCATAGCGTTTTTTGCGTCGTTTTTACTCGTTGTTGTATCAAATGTCTTCACAAGCCATGTTTCACAACGTTTCACCTGAAATATCAGAATTAGCGTTTAACACATAGTCATGTGGAACAATGAAATAAGTCAATGTTGTTACAATAATATATTTGTTTGTTTATTTATCTATTTAGTGTCTTCTGTTGCATACAGTGCTTGAAATTTGAACGACGATATAAAGTTGTTTTTGTAAACTATTTTCTAGCATATTTCGTGCAACGAAAGCAATATATAAAGAGCGAGATATACTGAGAGTGAAACAGTGAGAATAATCGAGTTCCCGGTTGACAATAATCTCTGTTGAGTTTAGTGGTAAGATTTCCCTGCATACTCTAGACATTTCTAAATAAGAACACACTGTGCCTGGCTTCTGGCCGACTAGTTTTTGTTTGTATACCAGGCTGAAATTGTCGAAGTGTTTCTCAGGACCAGTAATAAATACATATCCCTTTAATTTCACATTCAAATGTCGACGAGATGTTGGATTAAAATAAATTAGTATATACCCTCTTGAACTTGAAATCAAAGACCATTCAGCAGAAATTTCTAAAATATTACTTAAAGTATGACCAACAGGGCCAGTTTACTACTAAGCTGTACAATGAGGAAGACAATTTTCAATTTTCCGTTAGTGAACATTCCCTTTCTGGAGAGTAACATCCTGGCTTTCACATCCTACAGTGTATACATGTTGCTGGTTCTGTGTTCAAGAATGTGTTCCGAATATTATGATTTCCGTAAAAGATGTTTTCACTACCGTTATTCTCTTAACCTTTCGATACTCCTGATCTTTTTTCCCTTCTGCTTTTTCAAAGGTCAACATGTAAATCTTATGAGTTCAAATTTCGGTTTTGTTGACGTTTCGTTATTCACGTTTCTATTTAAATAGGTAACTTTTAACAAACTGAAATTCAATAAATACACCAATTAAGAAGCAATAGTCTACAGGACAAATATTATGTTAGAGATTGAAGTATGTTAATATCATTTTTTGTGCAAATTGATTATGCATAAATAATTTATGTAAATAAGTATACTATAAAGAAGAGCTTAGGCAAAAGATGATATACACAAACACAATACTCTTCGAATTTGGGAAATTGCATTTTCTATACACACATTGCAAATTTTGAAACTATTTACACAAAACGATTGCATTGGTTTAACCTTTTAACAAATCCACGTTGCTTTTCTCTACCAACACCAACAACGAAAACGACTGTTATGCGCAGTGTGTCGCAAGTCTTATTTCAAGGTATTTAAATTTAAATCAAATACAATTGTATACTTTACAGCTATTTATAGGCGAGCCAGTATATAATAGATAAAACAAATGTGTATTTTCCAAAATTCCTTCCGATTAGTTTTCATTCATATGACATGTAGGAAGAATATTTTGTTAATATCAGTATATATGAAGTCTTGGTAACAACAGTTGGTGTCATGTATATTTAAAGGAAAATATAAATAGCTGTGCGGTAACATCTTAATATGGATATAGAGTTCAAAATGGAAATACCCCGACCTATTTTTAGATTAGACGTACAGTACAAGCGCGTTGTTCTCTTTAAATATGAAACATGATGTATATGTACACACATAGATATTTTATTATCTTAATTGAAATAAAGAACGATTCCTAATCTACATTTGAATTATCCAATTAAAGTAATCAGGGTTTTTTTGTAACATGTAAAATCGAGTATTTAGAGTGAAAGTTGTTTTAAGGCAAGCAGTGTTTGTGAGATATTTTATGTGATGATCACAAACAGATTTATACGAAACTAAAAACATGTCCATGTATAAAATAACAAATTGAAACGAAAATGACAGGTTACATGAAAGACATTATTAATTATAACTGTTGATTGTACTTACAATTTCATCGTCGATTAAAACATTCCAGAAGTTATCCGTCCAAAAGTTGAACAAAAGTTCTGAAGAAAATGTGATATTATATTCACCAATAAACCATGAACGGTATCTGAATTAATTCTGACGTGTTCTGAATAATGGAACCTGGTAAAACCTTTGGCTAAAACTCAAGTATGCAGGGTATTTAACTGTATTGTAATCATTGTTATAATTACAATTGTTTAAATGTCAAATGTGCTATTGTGACTATGATTCATATTTACACTTGAGCACATATATAATTCTTGTGTCTGTTAATCTGGCAATATCTTCAATTTAAATCTGACCTCTCGGGTGAGTGCTACTCCTAAAATATGTAATCAAATGATTTAAGCTTCACAACTAACCGAAAACACTTGTTTCGTTTCCCGAATAATAATTTCCTCCAATTAAATTGGATCGTGTATTAGGTCTTCACACGACACCACAATAACACATTAACAAATTTAAAAAAGAAAAACACCATATGGAATTTTTGACAGGGAAATCAAAATGAATTTTTAAAGAAATTTGAATCTTTTATCATCCAAACCAATTAACATAAAAACGATGTCCGATCTCCTTTAACTAGTGTTTGGGAAAAAAGTGATTTGCTTCAATCAATTTCACTAATCACAGGCAATGTACATGTCGGAACAGTCTACCATTATTCAACATAAGTCTGAATCCTATAAAGAGCACCAAAACATTTGGTCAAAAGTACCTCTGATCAGTCTACGGTTACCAAATTAACACAGAACGATGTAGGTAACGAAATGACATGAGAGCTGTGTAAGAGACATGGAATCATGGAAAGATGTAGATGAAGAATGGGACATGAGAGCTGAGCTAGAGTAATGTACAGATGTAAATGAAGAATGGAACATGAGAGCTGAGTTAGAGACATGGACAGGTGTAAATGGGGAATGGGACATGAAAGCTGTGTAAAAGACATGGAAATATTTAGATAAGGAAAGGGACCTAAAGGTTTTGTTGGAGACATGAGCAGAAGCAGATAGACAAAGGGAGCTTAGATCTGTGTTAGGGACATAGACATATGAAGATACATATAAGGACCTAAGACCCGTGTTAGAGACATCAACAGATGTAGACAAAGAGTTCGGCCTGAGAGCTGCGTTAGAGACATGTGCAGATATATTTAAAGACAGGGAACTAAGAGCTTAGGTAGAGACATGGACAGATGTATATAAAGACAGGGACCTGACAGTTTCGGTAGAGACATTGACAGATGTAGATTGAGACAGGGACCTGACAGCTTAGGTAGTTACATGGACAGATGTAGATAAAGAAAGGGACCTGACAGCTTCGGTAGAGACATTGACAGATGTAGATTAAGACAGGGACCTGACAGCTTAGGTAGAGACATTGACAGATGTAGATTAAGACAGGGACCTGACAGCTTAGGTAGAGACATGGACAGATGTATATAAAGAAAGGGACCTGACAGCTATGTTAGAGACATTGACAGATGTAGATTAAGACAGGGACCTGACAGCTTCGGTAGAGACATGGACATATGTATATAAAAAGGGACCTGACAGCTTAGGTAGAGACATTGACTGATGTATATAAAGAAAGGGACCTGACAGCTTAGGTAGAGTCATGGACAGATGTATATAAAGAAAGGGACCTGACAGCTTCGGTAGAGACATTGTCAGATGTAGATTAAGACAGGGACCTGACAGCTTAGGTAGAGACATGGACAGATGCATATAAAGAAAGGGACCTGACAGCTTTGGTAGAGACATTGACAGATGTAGATTAAGACAGTGACCTGACAGCTTCGGTAGAGACATGGACATATTTAGATAAAGACAGGGATCTTACAGTTTAGGTAGAGACATGGACATATGTATATAGAGAAAGGGACCTGACAGCTTAGGTAGAGAAATTGACAGATGTAGTTAATGAAAGGGACCCGACAGCTTAGGTAGATACATCGACAGATGTAGATAAAGACAGGGACCTGACAGCTTCGGTAGAGAAATTGACAGATGTAGTTAATGAAGGGACCCGACACCTTAGGTAGATACATCGACAGATGTAGATAAAGACATGGACCTGACAGCTTCGGTAGAGACATGGACAGATGTATATAGAGAAAGGGACCTGACAGCTTCGGTAGAGAAATTGACAGATGTATATAAAGAAAGGGATTTGACAGCTTAGGTAGAAACATAGACATATGAAGATAAAGACAGGGACCTGACAGCTTAGATATAGACATTGACAGATGTAGATTAGGCCGGGCCCTGACAGCTTCGGTAGAGACATTGACAGATGTAAATTACGACAGGGACCTGACAGCTTAGATACAGACATGGACAGATGTAGATAAAGACAGGGATCCAACAGCTTTGTTTGAGACATTGACATATATAGATGAAGAAGGGGACCTGACAACTGTTTATAGGCGAGCCAGTTTATAATAAATAAAATAAAGAACCGATTAGTTTTCATTCAAATGAAGGAAGATTCTTTAGTTTAATATAAGTATATATAAAGTAGGTGTCATGTGTATTTTTAAGAAACTATTAATAGCTTTACGGTACCATCTTAATATGGATATGAATTCCAAACTGGAATTACCCCGACCTATTTTAGAAGAGAAATACAGTGTATGGCATGTACACAAAAAAGCTACCAGTACTTTGATTTCTTTAAAAACATGATGCAGATTACAACAATACTACAAAATATGATATATAGATGTACACACATATACATTTTATCAGCTTCAAGCATTAAGAACCAACACGAAACTGCATGTGATGTGTCCAATAAAAACTATCAATTTTTTTATGAAAGGTCAAATCGAAGAACTTACGCGAAAGGTGTTTTAATGCAAGCAGTGTTTGTGAGTTAACTTAGGTTATGATCACAAACAGACTTTACATGAAACTAAAAACATGTTCAAGAATAAAGGAACCAATTTAAAAGAAAATGACAGGTAACATGAAAACCATTATAAATTATAGCTGTAGTATTGTACTTACAATATCATCGTCGATTAAAACATTCTGGAAGTTTTTCGCCTAAATGTTGGACAATAGTTCTGAAGAAAATGGCTGCTGTACTGTTCAAAGCTAAAGCACTTCGTTAAGTTATATAATGATAATTTTAACTGCTATGATGCTCGGCTGACGTATATTCACCAATAAATCATGAACGGTATCTGAAAATAATTGTGACGTGTTCGGAAAAATGGCACCTGTAAAAACCTTTGGCTGAAACTCAAGTATATGGGATATTTTAATGAACTGCAATAATTATTATAATTACGACAGTTTAAATGTCAACGATTTTATTTTGACTATCACTCATATTTAGAAATAAGTAAATAGATCACTTTTGTATTCGTATATCTGGCAATATTTTCAATTTAACTGTGACCTCTTGGGTAAGTGCTTCTCCTAAAATATATGACTTATTAATTTAAGCTACACAACTGACCTGAAACACGCGTTTCTTATCCCGAAAATAAATTTCCTCTCATTTACATGGAACGTATATTAGGTCTACAAACGACACCACAATTACACGTAAAAATAAAACCCCACACAATACATGGATTTTTTAAGTCATCAGAATGAATGGATTTTAGAAGAAATTTGAATAGTTTACCATCCAAACCAATTTACACAAAACGATTTCTGATCTCCACTTTATATGGCTTCATTGAAAGAAAATTGATTTGCTTCAATAAATATTACCAATGGATATGTGGGTACCATTATTCTACAGAAGTCTGAATCCTTTAAATAGCACCAAACATTTGGTCAAGAATATCCCTGATCATTTTACGGTTACGAAATCAACATAGAAAGATGTAGGTAACGAAAGGACATATGAGCAGTGATAGAGTCATATAGAGATGAAAATAAAGAAAAGGAACTGGGAGTTTTGTTAAATACATGGATAGATGAAGATAAAGAAAGATAACTTAAAGCTATGATAGCGACACGGAAAGATGTAAGTAAGGAAAGTGACATGAGAGCTTTGTAAGAGACATAGACAGATGTAAATAAAGACATAGACCTAAGAGATGTGATAGAGATATAAAAATATGTAGATAAAGAAAGGGACTTGACAGCTGTATAGGAGACATAGACAGGTGTAGATAAAGAAAGGGACCCGACATCTGTGTTAGAGACATGCCCAGTAAATAAAGACATCATATCATATCGGCAACGACTGATAGGTGCAGTGTGTCGCAAGTCTTATTTCAAGGTATATACTTTTAAATATAATTCAATTGTATACTTTACATCTGTTTATAGGCGAGCCAGAATATACAATAAATGTGTATATTCAAATATTTCTCACGACCAGTTTTCATTCAAATGTAGAAATATTATTTAGCTTAGTATATGTTTAAGTAAAGTTTCGGTAACAACAGTAGGTGTCATGTTTATATTTAGGAAAGAACTAATAGCAATGCTGTAACATCTTAATATGGATATTAAGTCCTTAATGGAAATACACCGACTTATTTTTAGAGGATGATAACAATGTATGGCGTGGACACATAAATAGCTTCAAGTGATTTATTCTCTTTTTAAAAAACATGACACATTGTACAATAATGATATGAAACATGATATATAGATGTACACATATAGATATTTTATCAGCTTCAAGCATTAAGAACTAACCAGAAACTGCGTGTGATTTATCCAATAAAAGCAATCAATATCTTTGTTATAGGTCAAATAGAGGAACTAATACGAAAAGTGTTTTAATGGAAGCAGTGTTTAGGAGTTTGTTTTATGTGATGATCATTAACAGACGTTACATTTAGCTAAAAATATGGACCTGCATAAACGAACGAATTTAAAAGAAAATGACAGGTAATATGAAAGGCATTGTAAATTTACTATTGCATTGTACTTACAATATAATCGTCGAGTATGTGGGGTATTTAACTGTACGATAATAAATACTATAAGTATAACCCCGTGTGATTTCTACTTGTATAGTCTTTAGGTAAGGTAGATCTCCTGGAGGAGTTAAGATATAAAAAACACAATTCTTGGATATTTTAAAAATCTAAATTAATTTTAAAAGAAATTGAATAGTTTACCATCCTAACCAATTTATTAAAAAAACGATGTCCGATCTCCACTTAATACGGATTCTTTGAAAGAAAATTGATTTGCTGCATTCTTCCATTCACCAATATAATAAGCACCAAACCGTTTGGTTAAAACATTCTCTGATAAGTCAACGGTTACCAAATCAACTCAGTTTCATTTGCGACCGAAAAGAAAAGAAGGAGAGATGGGAGAGTAATTTAATTGTAAAGAGAAAAGTAAGAGAGTGGACGGTGTAGATAAAAATGGGGGTCCGAGAGCTTTGTTCGAGACATGGAAAGACGTAGATAATAAGAGACCTGAGAGCTGTGTTGGAGGCAGAGATATGCAAATAATGTAAAGGACATGTGAGCTTTGTTAGAGACATGGACAAAATAGATGAAACAAGGGACCTGAGTGCTGCGTCAGAATTATGGACAGATTTAGCTATGGAAATGGACATGAGAGATGAATCGAGACATGGAAAGATGTACATGACGTAATGGACCTGAGAGCTGTGTTAGAACCGAGACATGGAAAGATGTACATGACGTAATGGACCTGAGAGCTGTGTTAGAACCAATGAAAGAGGTAGATCAAGGAAGGGACTTGAGTGCTATGTCAGAGTCATGGAGAGATGTAGATAATAAGAGACCTGAGAGCTGTGTTAGTGGCAAAGAGATATGCAAATAATGTAAAGGACATGTGAGCTTTATTAGAGACATTGACAAAATAGATTAAACAAGGGACTTGAGTGCTGTGTCAGAATTATGGACAGATGTAGCTAAAGAAATGGACATGAGAGCTGAATCGAGACATGGAAAGATGTACATGACGTAATGGACCTGAGAACTGTGTTAGAGACATTGACCGATGTAGCTAAAGTAATGGACCTGAGAGCTGTGTTAGAACCAATGAAAGAGGTAGATAAAGGAAGGGACTTGAGTGCTATGTCAGAGTCATGGAGAGATGTAGCTACAGAAATGGAACTGACGGCTTAGTAAGAGACATAAAAAGACGTAGATAAAGAAAGGGACCTAAGAGCTGTGTAGGACACATGGAGATATGTAGATAAAGAAGGGAACCTAAGACATCAACACATGAAGATACAGTAAAGGACCTGACAGCTGTATTTGAGACATGGACAGATGTAGATAAAGAAATGGACCTGAACAGCGTGTTAAAAACATAGGCTGATGTAGATAAAGAAAGGGACCTGAAACGTGTGTTAGATATGGACAGATGTAGATAAAGATATTGACATTTCAAGGTATTGAAATTTAAATCATATACAATTGTATACCTTACATCTATTTATATTCATGCCAGTATATATTTAATACAATAAATGTGTATATTTCAAAATTGCTTACGATTAGTTTTCATTCAAATGTAGGAAGATTCCGTATATATATATAATTTTGTAATAACAATAGGTGTCATGTTTATTTTTAGGAAAAATATTAATAGCTGTGCGGTAACATCTTAATATGGATATAGAGTTCAAAATGGAAATACCCCGACCAATTTTAGAGGATGGCGTGTATACAAAAATAGCTTCAAAAATCACGACGCATAATACAATAATGATATGAAACATGATATATAGATGTACACTCAGGAGTTTGTTTATGAGATGATCATTAACAGACGTTACCTTTATCTCAAAATATATACATGCATCAAAGAACCAATTTAAAAGAAAATGACAGGTAACATGAAAGGCATTGTTGATTTGCTGTTGCATTGTACTTACAATAAAATCGTCGATTAAAGCATTCCGAAAGTTATTTGTCGAAACGGTGAATAATATATCTGACGAAAATGGCTGCTGCACCGTTCAGAGTCTTAAACACTTGGTGATGTCATANTTCACCAATACAACATGCCTGGTATCTGCATTAATTGTGACGTGTTCTGACAAATGAAACCTGGTAATACCTGTGGCTGAAACCCGAGTATGTGGGGTATTTAATTGTTTTGTAATACAGGTAGATTAAATAAAACAGGGGTTTAAATATCAGAGCTGTTAGCTTAACTGAAATTGCGTCTTTGTTTAAATTTCAAATTTTCTATTTTGACAATAATTCATATTTAAACCTTAAGTAAATAAATCATGCTTGTGTCCGTATATCTGGCAATATTTTCAATTTAATTGTGACCTCTAGGTTAAGTGCTTCTCCTAAAGTATATGATCAATTAATTTAAGCTACACAACTGACATGAAACACGCGTTTCCTATCCCGAAAAATAATTTCCTCTCATTTACTTGGAACGTGTATTAGGTCTACACACGACACCATATTAACACTTAAAATAAAAATAAAAACACAATATATGGAATTTCGACGAAAAAATCAATATGAATATTAGAAGAAACATTTATCTTTTACTATCCAAACCTATTTTCACGAAACGATTTCCGATCTACACTAAATATGGCTTCCTTGAAAGAAAAATTGATTTGATGTATTCTTCTATTCATCTATGTAAAAAACACCAAAACATTTGGTGAAACCATTCTCTGATCAGCAACGGTTACCAAATCTATTTACAACTGAACAGAAAAGAAGGGGAGAAGAGTTATATTGTAAAGTGATGAGTCAGAGATAGAACGGTTGTAGATAAAGAATGGGGACCTGAAAGCTTAGTTAGAGAAAAAATGGAAATAAGTAGAAAACTAAAGATACCTGAGAGCTGTGTTGGAGAAATGGAGATATGCAGGTAATGCAAGGGACATGTTAGCTTTTTAGAGACATCGAATAAAGTAGATAAAGAAAGGGACCTGAGAGCTGTGTAAGAGACATGGAGAGATGTAGATAAAGAAAGGGACCTGAGAGCTATGTAAGAGATATGGAGAGATGTATATAAGGAAAAGGGACCTGAGAGCTGTGTAAGAGATATGGAGAGATGTAGATAAAGAAAGGGAACTGAGAGCTGTGTAAGAGACATGGAGAGATGTAGATAAAGAAAGGGACCTGAGAGCTGTGTAAGAGACATGGTGAGATGTATATAAGGAACCAGTCAAGAGAGCTTTGTAAGAGACATGGAGAGATGTATGTAAGGAAAGGGACCTGAGAGCTGTGTAAGAGACAAGGAGAGATGTATATAAGGAAAGGTATCTGAGAGCTGTGTGAGAGACATGGAGAGATGTATATAAGGAAAGGGACCTGAGAGCTGTGTAAGAGACATGAAGAGATGTAGATAGAGAAAAGGACCTAAGAGCTGTGTAAGAGACATGGAGAGATGTAGATAAGGAAAGGGACCTGAGAGCTGTGTAAGAGACATGAAGAGATGTAGATAGAGAAAGGGACTTGAGAGCTGTGTAAGGGACATGGAGAGATGTAGATAAAGAAAGGGACATGAGAGCTGTGTAAGAGATAGGGAGAGATGTAGATAAAGAAAGGGACCTGAGAGCTGTGTAAGAGACATGGAGAGATGTAGATAAGGAAAGGGACCTGAGAGCTGTGTAAGAGACAAAGAGAGATGTAAATAAAGATATAGACCTAAGAGATGTGATAGAGATATAAATAGATGTTGATAAAGAAAGGGAAGTGACAGCTGTGTTAGGGACGTGGACAGGTGTAGACAAAGAAAGGAATCTAAGAGCTGTATCGTATAAGAGACATTGACAGATTTAAATATAGAAGGGGTTGTGACAGCTGTATCATAGACATGGACAGATGTAAATAAAGACATCATATCATATCGGCAACGACTGATAGGTGCAGTGTGGTGCAAGTCTTATTTCAAGGTATTTACTTTTAAAATAAAATACAATTGTATACTTTACATCTGTATATAGGCGAACCAGAATATAACTAATACAATAAATGTGTATATTCAAAACTTTCTTACGACCAGTTTTCATTCCAATGGAGGAAGAATATTTAGCTTAGTATAAGTAAAGTTTCGGTATCAACAGCAGGTGTCATGTTTATTTTTAGGAAAATATTAATAGCCATGCGGTAACATCTTAATATGGATATAAAATCCTAAATGGAAATACCCCGACTTATTTTTAGAGGAGGCAAACAGTGTATGGCGTGGACACAAGAATAGCTAAAAGTGTTTTGTTCTTTTTTAAAAACATGACGCATTGTACAATAATGATATGAAACATGATATATAGATGTATACACATATATATTTTATTAGCTTCACTAATACGAAAGATGTTTTAATGCAAGCAGTGTTTAGGAGTTAGTTTATGTAATGATCTTTAACAGACATTACATTCAGCTCAAAATATGTACATGCATAAAAGAACTAAATCAAAAGAAAAAGACAGGTAACATGAAAGACATTGTTGATTTGCTGTTGCATTGTACTTACAATAAAATCGTCGATTAAAGTATTCCGAAAGTTATTTGTCGAAACGGTGAATAATATATCTGACGAAAATGGCTGCTGCACCGTTCAAAGTCTTAAACACTTGGTGATGTCATTTAATGTTATGTTGAACTGCTGTGATATTCTGCTGTTATATATTCACCAATATACCATGAACAGTATCTGCATTAATTGTGACGTGTTCTGACAAATGGAACCTGGTAATACCTGTGGCTGAAACCCGAGTATGTGGGGTATTTGTTTTGTAATACAGGTAGATTAAATAAAACAAGGGTTTAAATATTAGAGCTGTTAGCTTAACTAAAATTGCGTCTTTGTTTAAATTTCAAATTTTCTATTTTGACAATAATTCATATTTAAACTTAAGTAAATAAATCATGCTTGTGTCCGTATATCTGGCAATAG